AGCTTTTAATAATATAGAGCTTTTAATAATATAGAGCTTTTAATAATATAGAGCTTTTAATAATATAGAGCTTTTAATAATAAAGTACGTTAGTTATTTAAGAAATACTATTTAATTTTTCTTACTTAGTATTTTTAGACTTATTAATTCTCTTTCTTAATATTTTTAGAAGGTTTGTTTATAAAGTACGTTAGTTATTTAAGAAATACTAGTTAATGTTCCTTGCTAAGAAATTATGGACGGTTCGCTTGTAAAGTACATTACCTGGCAAGCACGAGTCTAACATTCGAAACGTCTATTGCTAATGGGTTCCCCTAGCGGCACTTGTTACCGCATCTTCTTTTTTCAAGGCCTCCGTTTGACAGGGCCAGAATTTGGACCGCGCAACCAAGTAACCGCCGATTTAATGATGAACGACCTCAAGCCAATAGACGTATTTGGAGTATGCCATTTGCTTGAAGGTATGAACGAATCCCCTTCAGCAAAATCATGATCCCGGCGAATCTCCGCCCTGGGATCATATGACTTTCCCTGCCGACCCTTACCCAGGGCATCGGTATCATATATCTCTAACGCCATGGCCAGCGCATTGGTATAGCTATAATTCGTAGACATATCTTCCACAGCGTTGAGATCGAACTCGACATTCCAATTCGAGTCTTGCGGCTCGTTGGAATTGTTCGTCACACGTATGTTTATTGACAGGGTGATGTCGTCGCCAATTTCCTTGAAGTAGACGGATATCCTTTCAATCTTGCCGGGCGCATTGCGAATAGTCACGTGGATGGGATGGCCGAGATTTGCATACACTCCACGAGGGTTGACGCGGCGCAGGTTGTGAGTAACTACCAGGCCACGCAAGCCACGAACCGAGTAAGCTTCCCTCTTCTTGCCTATGGTCGTGAATTTGCTCCCTGGAATAGAGATATCTTCCTGCCACTTCGGTCCGGGTGGTGTACGAGGCTGAGCTTCCTGGAATGGTGAACATAGTGGAGGGGAGCGAGGGTCTGACCGCGTGGAACGTCCTTGTGACGGTGGAGCAGCTGGTTGAGCTCGTCCCGTCCTTTGCATGTTCGGCTCACACTGAGAAGGAGTGTGCACCCCACGAGGTCCTAAGTGCGTGTCGTGCGCCGCACGACGTGCTGCATCTGAGAGGACTTCGTACGCATTGAGTACAGCCTTGAAGAACTCCTCACGAGATGCGCGCTCATTTATTGTTAGATGTTGGGTCTTGTCGGGGTGATTTTCCAGTGCCAGCTTCTTGAATGCGGCTTTAATTTCGTCTGCAGTAGCGCTATGGGTGACCCCCAGGGTCTCGTAGTGATTTGCCATTGGGATAGTATAGGATGATTCAGTAGGCAATTCGAGTATGAGGAAGGGCTTGCATGCGCTGCTTATCGCATGTTCGGCTTGTATAGCCATGGCTGCACAATGGAGGTGTGATGGTTGAGACGTTGTGAAGGGATATGCATAATGAGCATTATTGAGCTGGGTAGGATATGGGTGACAGGCACAATGTAATGTCCCACCGTTTGTAGTAGCGGAACAGAGGATAAACTGTTGTACAGTCGTTTATTTGCTAGAGCTTCTTACTTAACAGCTTAGCGGCCGCTTTATGCTTACGTTACGCCTTTTCTTTTGCAAATTAGGTTACAAGCAAGCCTTATTTACCTAGGTACTATATCTGCATTCCCTTCCCTAGCACGGGGGTAACTGCGAGGCAATATCCTCAGTGCGCGGTAGAGATTGATAGGAAGGGGCGTGTTACTGTAACGGTTAAGTGAGAGGAATCTCAGTCTCGATGGACAATGAATTCAACCTGCCATAGTACAGAATGGGTTAAGAAGGGCCTACAATCTCGTGTATTTCAACGAAGGAAATAATTAGTCAAGTAGCCAATGAGAGGCCCGTCATCCATCCACAATCTCTAGGACAAGCCTAACTCGAGATCACGATGACCTCGGCCGAAGCCTTGGTCTCGCCCTTGTATCCGCACTGCCTTGCCCTCCCCTTATCTGAGGACGGTTCGCTGGAGTGGGTATGTTGCGCCGCTTTGGCCTCGACTGCTCACTGTCGTGGTCTATGGATAATGCTAACGCGTTACGTTTACGTTTAGGCACCATGCTCGCCTTTGGGTCTTGCTCAGACCCTCTGGCCTTTTGGAGCTCGGCTATCCATGCACTTCTTCGTGGCACTCTGACCTCGATTGATAGGGAGGGTCCAGCTTGAGGGCGTTGTCTTCTAAGAGGTTTGGTCGCTTCAGATAATGGATGTTTAAAGGAGACACGTTTGCCCTTGCTATTAGTCTGCGGCTCGCCTTGGGGCCTACTTTTGACATTCGTCGCCATCGATTGTGCTGGTTGGAGAGGAGACAGCTTGCTAGTTCGAGTACGTCTTCCGGAAGTAGCTTGCTTATCCTTGGGGACTAGATTATCAGCACCATGCCGTGGCGGAGGTAGCGTGCCATTTGGCGCCGCGTTAGGTGTTTGATTGGCTTCATCGATACGGGAGCTCTGCTTCCGAAGGCGGCGCCTTGGGACAGGAGCCTGTGACTTGCTCGGTTCCTCCACCTTGGATAAGTGCACGTTCCCAAGGACTCGATCTGTAGGTTGTTCTGCGAGTTACGACGATTCTAGGACTGTAGGATGAGCAGCGCTTTCTTGTCTCATGATTCATTCTCTTAATTCAGCCATCGTTCTGCTGGGATCGACGACACGTTCCTCTGCGCGGTTATCGTTGGCATTAGAGATTAGCTCGAAGTTGAAAACTCCCTGCTCGGAAGTACGAAGTTGTTGCTCGCCGCTGTGAACTAGACTAGGCGGCAGTCCTCATTCCCGGCGCCTCTCTTCGCGAAACCTTTCGTCCAACTTGTCCGGATCAACCAGCTCGTCCAGATGAACCGGCGCCTCCTCTTTCTTACGCTTTTCACCCTCCTCTTTAACGAAGTCAGGAGTTGGCGGTCGATTAGCAGGATCAGGGTCTTCTTTATGCATCCACGTTAATCTGGGCAGAAGCCCCTATTTAGGATTCTAGATCTTGTCTTCGATCCACGTCTTCTTGACGCTTTCGTATGCCTTGGCATCGATGTCGACAGGCTCGGTTGAGCCTTCATATTCGAGTTCGTCTCTAATCCATTCACTCTTTAGAGATCTAGTAGAGGAATTGGTCGTACGGACGTGATGCGGAAGTTCTAAGTTGATATCTGGGAGGAAACATATCTGGCATACAACGCCAAGAAATAACTATCGAATCTGCACTGGGAATCTTGAAACTTTTGTCCCACTTCTAAAGAGGTCTCCAGATGAACGATCCAGGGACGATCGGCTCTGCAGCAGGTCGGTCCACCTCCTCGGGTACCGAATCCAGCTCCGACTCCGAAGGCAGGTATGCTCCGACTCCGACTGCGACTCTGGCATTCCGATCTGGACCCGGCTCCGACTGAGCTGCTTGCCTTTGTTCAGCAGCAGCCACCGACTTCCCCCAGGAACACTCAGGCTCTTCTCGTCCCGATTCAGCGGCAGGAAGAGTGAGCCCTCGCTCAGGTTCCGGTTCCGGCTGCGGCTGCGATGCTGTTCGTGGTGGCTCGAGTCTCTTTTCATGTCCCCAACGGGCGAGGTTGCCAAGGCTCGGAACACTGGGTCCCCCCTCATAACGCCATTCGAATATCCCCAGTGCTGATTTCCCTATTCCCTTTGGCCAGGCTGGACTCAGCCATTACTGCGCGATGACGTCGTCTTAGAGGAGGCGCAGGCACGGGCCGAGGAGTGATGCCGTCACCTCTGAGGCGCGCGGACCGACGAGGCTGCGATTTTCGACATGGCAAAGGTTGAGCTTCGCGGTGAAATTGTAGAGGTAAAGGTTTGCTCGATAGACTACATTCCTTGTCTCGTACACAAAAACAAACGCAATCAGCGCGACGGGAACTGGCACATCGCACGCGGCTGTGGCTCAGAGACAATCCAGCGCCCATGGATGCCGGTATGTCGCAGTATCGCTGCCATCGTGTATATGGGTATCCGGCTGGTATTGATGCCTCGCGCTGTCATGGCGACGAAGTCTTTTGGAGCGCTGACGACCGGTCGAGATTGGTGTCGAGCCGTCGTTTTTCGCTAGCCATCTACGATGACTCAGCTCTCTAGCCACAGCCACAGCCACCACCGGGGTGAGCTAATTCATTGCCGATGCCATATAGATACTGTGCAACCACAGTTTGCTATATAGATCTAAATGTAAACAGCTAAAATATAAATCTATACATGCTATATCTTGAAGCACTTAGATATACGCTATTTAAAATAATTAGTAGCTTTTCATGTACGTTGGCGATGAAGATGTTTTTGGTGGGCATCGGCAATGAATTAGCTCATGGGGGTGGGACGAACCCGACTCCAGCAAGCGCCGATCGCTCGCTCCCGCAAACGTTCGATGCTCTTCTTACCCAGCTGCAACAGCGATGAATCGACAAGACACGCACCGATGCCGATCGCTACTAGTACCGTTCTGTGCGCTTGTGTGGACCTCTCTGGGTTGAGATGTTGATCGGTCGCGCAAACCGGTGATTTAGTGTGTAGCTAAATCGCGCGCGCGGTTGCGCAGGGGCTCATAACCTGTTGAATAGAGAAGTTGAATGCATTGTTGTTCTATGTATGAGAGATGGAGTCCTTGCTTATTATATAGAGGCAAGGACGCGCTAGTTACACGCTAGTGAGTGAATCACGTGATAGTATTACTACCTAAGGTAACTAACAGCGCCTTTTACGATCCGGACCGGCTCAAGGCGACAGGTCACCTGTCGAACTTTACACTCGACGAGAACGAGGCTGATGGGCTTATAGGGGAGTATAGGAGTCATCGTGTCCATGAGGAAGAGTCGTTGAGGGGTGTGGAGGTGTTGAAGCTGCCTGAGGTACAGCTTTCAGCGGATAATCATCCTCAGAAGTGAGGCTAACTGGGAATTCAAAGGATTAGAATACCCAGATGCTTACTCTTTTCCCTTTTCTATGTCTTTTACGTGTTATGTATTACCTCGGCCCGTATTCCTCAAACAGATTAATCGATTCTACCTATACTGTGTAGTCCTGTGTCCTATTCTCCCATATTCGCCGATGGCGTGCTGTAGTAATGTTTTCCATTATACACCACTCTCGGATTTGACACTGGTCTGGACGACTCGACACTATCCAACCCTCGGACTTGTACATTTCCCTCGGCCTCCAAGAAGCTCCTCCAATCAAGTCCAGTCCAAGTCCGAGTCCGAGTCCAAGTCCAAATCCGACTCTCGCAACCAAGCAGTGCAGAGGAGAGCGTGAGACCACCTCCCCCCCCTTCCTCCTGTCTACACCCTTTCTGTGTCGTACTCCCGCATAACCTCTAGCTCGTCTAGATCGGGATAGTAGAACTCGAATCTCAGCTGGTCCTGCGTGTCCCGGTACACCCTCGGATAGCCGATGTATTCGAAGACGGCGCGGAGGAGATTGCGGGTAGTGGCAAGAATCGTCGAGGGAGGGGTCGGCGCCAGCGTTGGAGGCGGGGTTGAGGTTAATAGTTTTGGGGGAGGGGAGATTAAGGAGGAGGGTGGCGGCAGTTCGGCGGTAGAGGAGATCCGCGCTGGAGGAGGAGTAATAGTAGGAATAGTAGTTGCGCTCTCGTCTTCTACTACTCCGGGGTTAGTTCCGAGCGCATTGGACAGCATTGAGGGGCGCGTGGCAGCCGACCCAGAGTCGAGATTTTCGGGTGCTTTTGAGCTCATTTTAGGGGCGGCGTCAAGGTTTCCAAGTACTGTTGGGCTCGTTTTGGTGGTAGACTCCAGGGTTTGGAAGGTTGTTGCGTTCTGGGTTTCAGTGGTGGGAATGGATCGCTTGGACTTGATGGATGGATGAAGTCTTCCAACGTTCCTTCGAGGGGGGGCGGGTTCTTGCGATGGAGATGGGTAAGGAGGAAGAAACTATATAGTATAGTGGGTTGATTTGAGGGCAGCATCTCGTTCACCCCAGGTACGATTCCCCCGAGTTTTTTGTAGCGACCACGGTTATGACGTATAGTATAGCTTCGTTAAGGGGAGTGAATGCTTTTTAAGGGCATTCTTTCAAGGTAGCCCCTCGTTTCATTACGTCTTTCGAATTACTGCACAGCTATAATGTGCTGATCTTAAACTGCTAGCTTAAGATAAGCTTAGGATGACTTAGAACTGCCTTCAAGGACTTCCTCGAATGGAAAGAATGAGCCGTATGCGATCTGTGACCTGGGAATCTCTATCACGGTCAAATGTATCAACCAGGCATTGCTCTATAGCGCCACATCTGCAAAAAGGGGTATACAACACACCAAGAAAGGAGGGACACAAACATAGACGCTCGTCATCGTACCTGAGCCTCCCACTCTCTCAAAGCCGTCCTCAGCTTCTCTTCAGCCCCATGCTCGTGCCAGAAATGTCCCGCCCCGGCGATCTCAACACTCGAGAACCGGGATCCAGATTCGCTCTTCAGCCTCTCCGCCCAATCCCGCACTTTCTTCGCCGACGTGAAGATGTCATGGTCTCCAAATATCGCCAGGGAGACATGCTTCGCAACAACCTCCTGGCAAACGCCATGCGACTTATTCCAGAACTTATACCCCAGCACCGGCGCCGCAAGCGTCGATACAGGCGGCATGAGCGGCGATATCAGAAGATACTTCACGTCTGGCACCGTGATGGTCAAGCTCGCCGTAGAACTTTCAGTCGGTGTCTGAGGCAGTCCCTCCTTCCGCCGCCGATGGCTCAAACTCCGCAACCTGCCGCTCAGATCCAGACTCCTCCTCCCATCAAGACTCCGCCTTATTTCCCTACTACTCCTCCTCTTCTCGGGGCTCGTCTCCTCGCCGCCCACTGTCACTGAGAGCTTGCCCTCATGCCCCCTGCTGCGCTTCTGCCGCTCGTTGTCCCGCGCGGCGTTGATCCACTCGAGGTTGCTTTCGTCAGCGAGCTTGTGCGCGCGCAGCAGTATCTCGTCGGCTGCGGAGCCGCTGGCGGGATTGGCGAAGGGCTGCAGAATCGACGGAACGGGCGGGAGGTGCTTGAGGATGAGGGAGCCGTAGGAGTATCCAGCTAGGACTAGTACGGGACTCTGCTCTGTTGGCGAGCGCGAGAGGTCGGCAGAGCTCTGCTTCTGGGATACTGGGGACTGGTCGGGGGTGAAGACGGCGTCGGACGCTGGGAGCGGGTGTAGGTAGGACAGGTAGTGCATGAAGAAGGCGGCGAAGGAGATGTAGTCGTCGAGCTCGGGGCGGCCGGACCAGCTCGTGCGGCCTTTGGAGCCATGTGCGCCTCTGTGCCGTGCGTGTCAATGTGAATCCTACTTTTACGTCTTCTCTTTCTTGCAGTTTTGCAAGAGAATCAGGCATACCTGAAATTGAACGTCCCTACCATCCAGCCTCGCTTCAGAAACTCGTCCACCACGATCCCCACCACGCGGTCATCGTAGGAGCCGCCCATGGGCGCGTACGGATGCGCTATCACAATCCCCCTATTCCGCCATTGCTGTCGCTCCTGCGAGTCTCCTGACCGCGGCCTCGAGAGTATGTCCGGGTGGTATACACGGCAGTTCAGGGTCGTGTCGTCGTGGATCGAAGGGATGGTGCATGTGAAGCGGGGCTCAGGATGGTGAGGCATTGTGGTGGGGCCAACGAAAGACCCGGCGTGAGGGTGTTCAGCGCATGTCGGGTGTTGTGGGATGTTTGCGCTCCAGAGGCTGTGCTGTGCTGCGAAATCCTTGCGCCAGGCTGTCCTGTGTTTGGGAGTAGAGGATCGACGTGGACGCGGGGATGTTGTGATAACGCGCATCCTAGGAGCATTAGTCAGCGAGCCAGTAACAGGTCCTTGCTATTAGCATGCACTCGGAGAATACATTTCCTGTAAGGCTCGGACAAGCCTTGATAAGATCTACTGTATTTGCTAGATTCCAGTATGGGTTCACGTCTCCAAGGGAGGGAGATGATGAAGGCCATAATATGCAAGATGCAAGGGTATCCAATTCTCTAATGATATAGCCTAAGGCAATCGCCCGGACGTTTCTAGTCCGTATCAGTGTCCTGGTGGGATATCATAAGCTCAGGATCTGGATCCTCATCATCCGTATCGAAGAACTTCGGCTTAGGCGGAGACACAGACGGCTTCGGTGGCGACGAGCGACCGATTCTGATCGTAGACCGCGACACTTCGTCCTCCTCGCTCTCCGCGTGCGTACTCTCAGTATCCACCAACTTATCCGTCACCTTCTCCTTCCCCTTTCTCTTCGAACCGAGAGCTTCCTCAAGCATTTCCTTGCCCTGCTTGAAGGCCTCCAACTCCGCTCCGATGGCGCAGACGAGCAAGTTCCAGCTCCTTGAGCTCGCCAACTCCAGGCTGTCTTCAAGGTATGACACTGTGGCATCCATCTTCTCGAGCAGCCTAGAAGGATCTGGGCTATTGCTCCGGCCAGCCTGCTGCATGTGGTTCTGCAGACTGGCCTCGAAGTCCACCACCTTTTTCACCACGTTATTCCACAGCACAGCGCCTTCGTCAAGAGCCGCGCGATCGAAGTCGACTTCCTCGCACTTCTCCCGTAGTCTCGTTTGCTCGTCATGCCAGTAGTCATGCGCCATCTCAAGTGTGCGGCGTTTCGCTGGAAGCTGCAGGAAAGGCGAGGGTGAGAGCGGGACATGGTTCGCGTCTGGAGGACGCACAAGAAAGTGTGCGACCTCCTTGTCTAAGATCGACAGAGAGGCCTTGTACGTGGAGAGCTTGGCTTCGACAGAGTTCTCCGTATCAGCAAGCTCGTTCAGGACGCGGCGGTGCCGTGCCTTGAGCGCCCATAGCTCTTCTTCCTTCTGACGTATCTCCTGCTCCAGCTTCGATGCTTCAGTCTGCAATGACTGCGCTCTTGTGCCGCCGTTTTCACCCTCAATGTCTTTGATCTTCTTCTCCAAGCGCGAGCGTTTCTGGCTCCAAGCGTCCGTCTTCTGCACGATGTTTTGTAGATCTTTTAAGTCCTCGTCCAGCAGGTCCAGTTCCTCAGCCTTGACGCTAGCCAGCTGCTGTATGCGCCGGAAAATGCCTCTCCTGGCGGCATTGAGTCCAACCTTCTTCTTCGTCCTCAGGCCGTGGGTATAATCATCGTTCTCCGCGCTTCTGTCGGTCCCGCGAATGCTGCTCACAGTCGGTGTAGTGCTGCCATTGGAGACTAAATCATCTGCAGCCGGATCATTGCCCGCCAGGCCGCTCATCAAACCGTCTGCCTGCGCATCCAGCAGCTCTTGAAGCTGCTGCTCGAGATGTCGCGCCCTTCGTTGTAGAGCGAGAAGGTCGTCGGGGACGCGAGCAGGCGGGGACAAGGTCGTCGAAGGAGTATTCCATAGTACAGTAGAGGCTACCGGAGGAGGTATCCGCGGGGACGACGCCGGGGATCGGTACAGAGGCAGTTCATGTTCGTGCGCGTGCGGATCTTCGAAGGAATCTCGAAACCTGGGCGAGATGGAGCCGAGAACAGAGTTGAACAACGACATATTAGAAGCTTGGAGGTAGGAATGATGGTAGGAGACTGTAAACGAGAAGCTCTGGGTTGTTGTAAGACGTCCAGGCGAGCTTCCCGCGAGGTAGATACCTAAAGCGTGTGAGCGAGTCACAGCGTTCGGAGGTTTCTTAGTCAGCTGAGCTAGCTGTCATGGGCGCGAGGCAGGTGCAGATGACAGTGGTGGTCCGCGTGAAGCAGAGAGGCGCGCATGATCATTGACATCCGTGGGCTCGAGAAGCCATTGTGGTCAATGAGAGTGATGGAGCCATCTGCGAGGGATCCAGTGCAGTGGACGTCATTCAATAAAGAGCTCGAAGGAGAGTTTCGGCAACGCTCAAAGGACACAGAGATCAAGAAGCCATAGTTAACTTGGCAGAACGCAAATAGGATCCTACAAGAGAACAGTATCGAAAATACCGACGATTAAGCCCAGGGCTTCGCGACAGTTGCTGGGTTTAGACCTACCGCTGACTAAGGCCATGCCTCGCTTAGCGGCGCTAGTGGAAACTCTTGGCAACACCACCCGCACCCGCCATTTTGACCTTCGACGACTACGAGGTTGAGCATCGCGACACCAGCACTAACCCCAGCACACACACTGTAAGTACTGTTATTCCACTCCTCTCTCATTCCGGCGTGATTGCTAATCGTTCAATTGCAGCAGCCGCCAGCACCGTCGACATACAACATGGCTGACGCCCCACGCGGAGGATTCGGCTCTCGAGGTGGTGACAGAGGAGGCCCGCGTGGCCGTGGACGTGGACGAGGGCGCCGTGGCAAGACCGAGGTACGACTATATCGCGCGCAGGCAATCATGGACAAAATTGACAACCGGCACAGGAGAAGGAATGGCAGCCCGTGACCAAGCTCGGCCGTCTCGTGAAGGCTGGCAAGATCAAGAGCATGGAGGAGATGTACGTCCACGCCCACGCCGGCAGTGTCTAGGAGCAGGGCTAATATGCATCAGCTATCTCCACTCTCTCCCGATCAAGGAGTACCAGATCGTCGACTTCTTCCTCCCCAAGCTCAAGGACGAGGTGATGAAGATCAAGCCGGTGCAGAAGCAGACGCGCGCCGGCCAGCGCACCCGATTCAAGGCCATCGTCGTCATCGGAGACTCGGAGGGCCACATTGGTCTCGGCATCAAGACGTCCAAGGAAGTCGCGACCGCCATCCGCGCCGCCATCATCATCGCCAAGCTCAGCGTCGTGCCCATCCGAAGAGGCTACTGGGGTACTAACCTCGGTGAGCCGCACTCGCTGCCCGTCAAGGAGAGCGGCAAGTGCGGTTCCGTCACCGTCCGTCTCATCCCCGCGCCCCGTGGTACTGGCCTCGTCGCTTCGCCCGCTGTCAAGCGTCTGTTGCAGCTCGCTGGTGTGCAGGACGTCTACACTGCGTCGTCTGGATCGACCAAGACGCTCGAGAACACCCTCAAGGCTACCTTCGTTGCCGTCGCCAACACGTACGGCTTCCTCACTCCAAATCTATGGAAAGAAACCAAACTTTCCCGAAGCCCGCTTGAGGAGTACAGCGATGTGTTGCGCGAGGGCAAGAGGTATTAGGGCAGCGGTGCAGAATGACGGATCTTTTCTAGCATTCACGGGTTCCATATGGCGTGAGGTGGTGCATAGGGCACCTTTCTAGGTCATCATGAATGACAAAAGAATACTCACTGAAAATACTCATTCAATTGTGCACCTGAATCAGTTCATATGTGACAGCGTCCAAACATTTTCAAGGGTGCATATGGGCCACCAAGGTTTCGACAGGATCATATATTGTCTCTGTATCTGAGTGCAATAAGCTACGCATATTCGCATGAGCCCCAGATCCTGCCATGCTTTGTTCCGGAGAAGAAAGCCAGGCGTGAACTCCCTCAGTCCACCAAACCCATATCACATGAATCCTGATATGATTTTGAACCCTGCTAACTGCGTTGAGATTGGGCACAGTCCCGAACTCCTGAAGAAATCTCACCATGCTCTTTCCATAGGGAGCTCAGCCCGCCGTCCTTCACTCCCCCAAACGCACGTTGTCGAAGAAGCCCATAGGGAGCCGTCACATGTCCTGAGCCGGCCACGCGACGCGGATATTGCTGCACGAGGCGAGCAGGCTATTGCACTCCATGAGCACAATCAGCGCAAGGGATCGCGGGTCGGGGTGGCCTTGGAAGTCCATTCGCGGCAGGGTCAGAACTCGAAGACCAGGGCTCGGACCAGCATGAGCGCCGCCTTGCGGTGAGGCAGTGCTTTGTGGTGCAATGCCTTGCGGTTCGGCGGTTCGATTTAGTCTCGTAGCGCCATACAGCCCAGCGGCGGCCTGTGGTCCGGTGTTGCCTTGCTTGGCTTGATTCTGCAGACGCTGGGAGCGGCGCATTCCCCCAGATCTTCCAGCGAACGGGCTGAGCGAATTCGAAGCAGGACCAGTCGGGACCGGAGCTTGACCGACAGCCGTGGAGGGCGCGCCGAAGTGGTACATGCTTCCCGGCTTCTGGCCATTCATAAGCTAGTAAAGGTCAGTCCTGCCCAGAAATCAGATAGGCAAGAATGGACCACTTACTGCTAGTCGCGAGGGGTGAACTGCACCAAAAGATGCTTGGCCGGATGCACCGAAGTTGGTAGTACGGGCTTCGTCTTTCGCCTTGCGGTACTCCTTCCTTACGTTCTTAGTCATCTTTGGGAATTGAAGCTTATCGACGCGGGCCTGGAATGCTTGCAATGCTATCTTCTGCTTCCCGTCTAGAGCGAGAAAAGAGGACACCGTTTCGATAACATCAATCTCCTCTCCAAAGACACCACGAGCTAGATTGTCGACGCGTTGCTGCAGCTTGTTCATCTCCGCCCGTTGCACGTCCGTCCACAGGGGTCTCTCTTTCTTGCTGAAGACATCGATGATGTTGGGGCGGGACGTGCTCGTCTGGGACGTCGAGGTGCTGAGTTCGTCCTCGTCCTCGTCCTCCTCTTCAGACTTGATCTTGACAGAGTATTCCTGCAAAGCATTACTGTCGGTGGGCACTGGGTCAGCATTGGTAGCCGAACTGCTTCCAGATCCACCATACTTGTCGTCCAATCGAGCAGGTAAGGTTCGTTGCTCGTCGTTTGGCCTCAGGTTTGGAAAGAACGCGCTGCTGGGCCCTGAGAAAGCAGTACCTTGCGGGGGCGGTCCGCCGAATAGGATCGATCGGGATGGCAGCTGCGGTATCGGGGCCTGTTCGCTGAGAAAGCCCGCAAACGACGTGCGAGAACGCTTGAACGGGTTGTCCTGGTCGAAGTGGCGTTGGTTCTCGTCTGGCATGCCATCGACAGTGGATTGAGGACGCTTCATGGGCTCCCTCACCTCCTGCATGGGCGAGGCGTCCGACAAGCCATATCGACCGATGCTGCAGAGCGGACTCCAACGGGCTTCGGGATACTTTGCAGACGCGCTGGGTATCTCCGTTGCCCGCGGAGGCTCGTCAGGCAGAGTCGAGGACAGCTCAAGGCGAGTAGCTTCAGCTTCAGCTCCTCGCTCTTGCTCGTGCTGCGCCTTCGGGGACCCGCCCAACGCCTCTCGAATCGACGGAAGTGAGATGCCCTTGCTGGCGGCCTCCACGGTAGGTCTGTTCACGGCGTTAGCCATCTTCCGGTCACCCATCGTACGCCGCGATGTGGTGTGGTGGCGTGGCGTTGGAGTGGAGGTGGGCGAGGAGCGATCTTTCAAGCGTGACTGCCCGAGGGGCTAACGCGCGCCTTCCTTCACCCAGCGGTGCCCAGGTGAGGTAAACAAAACGAAATGAGCGCGCCCCACGATGACGTTACGCTCGTTTGCTCATTCCGGCCGTTGATTGGTTCTGCGGTTTTCGCGCGGCGGAGAGGGTTGCGCTGAAGTGCAATTTAGGGAAGCTACGGTTTTCGCCTGCACCTCGGGCTGCTGGCGAATGCTCCTGCCCAGGTGATGGTAGTGGATAGGTAGACGCTATATGTAGGTATACGATTAGCGCGGCAAGATTGTGATATCGATAGCATGCAAGCACCCAAAGCACATGAAGGGAATGTTGGATCAGAAGAGAGTAGGGTGCAAGGTTGCAGCCCCGGTCAACTTGCATTTGACTCATCCACCACAGCGGTAGAAGCCCGCTACTGAAGAAAGACGTTCACCTCCTATTCAACACCTCCAGCTGCTATGGAGCTCCCACAGCTGAAGCCAAGCCTGATCAAAATACCCTAGAAAAAGCCATGCAAGCGCTCAGCGAGAAGAAAAGCAAAAGTGGTATATATGAAAACATGAGCGAACGAATCCTCCCTTTCCCTATGCGTAGCAACCTCCGTCTAGGGAGTGGGAGTGGCGTGAGCCAGCAGGTAGTATACGCATGGGTATAAGCGACAGTCGAGAACGTAATGGCGAGAAAGCAGGAAAAGCTAAGTCAGGACGGAGATTAAAACGCCGACTACAACAAGTGGAAGGTTAAGAAAGCAAGCTACTCGAAGAGGGGATATGCCCGTTTTGCGCCCCCACGGAATGAACATCAACAATCGTCCGAACGCCGATGACAACCACCCCCAGATCGAAGAAAAGAGGCTGAAGGCCAATAAGTCTTAACTAAGAGAGGTAAAAGCACGCTAAGTGTTGATGAAATACGAGAGGTGAAGTAAAGCTTGTGCGATGAGCAGAGTGGCAGACTATTCGATTGGCGTCCTGAATCGTAGAATAGGGATTGGGACGACCGTTGCTGAAGAGGTTCACTGCTGATAAAGTAGGTGGGCTGATCCTGAATGGACTCCTCGAAGCAATTACGTCGAGATCTGATAGGGTGTTAGGTATGGAAGCCGAAGTGCTGAAGTCAGCTCACTCGTCTTCGTCGGCCGCGACTGCCGCCTTCTGGACGCTGTGCAAGGACCTCTCGTAGTTGAGGATCATCCTTGTCCTTATCGACGTGATGAACGCGTACGTGTCTGTTGAAAAGCACTAGTTAGCTAAGGTGTCCATCCTATCCGCCCGTCCATCGTCTATTCACCTCTGGCGAAACAGCCAGGTCAGTACGACCTCTTGATGAACTCCCACCTACACCTCAATTGAGGAGTTCCATGGGGCTTGGAGGGATGGTGTCCCAACTACACACCTTTGTAGATTATCAGGCCGCGGGTATTTGTGATCGCGATCTGGACAAAAAGGACAGACGTAGCCCGGGGATTGGTGCACTAAGCCGTGCCGTATCATCTCATTCTTACGCTTGAATCCCTTCCCACCTTCCGCTCGTGGGCATCCAGGCACAGGACAGTAATGAGGCCGACTTTGTGAGTGGACATTCGCGTGTGAGCTGACAGAAATTAGCAATTGGCTTTCTGTGTGTGTCGAGTGCTGAGGGAACTCACTTGAGAAGATATTGCGTCTGGAAGGGAGCAGCATTGCAGCCTGGATAGTCGCACTTGAAACCTCCCGAACCATGGGATGGTATATGTTGAATGTTCGGCCCGACGGGTGGAGGAAGTGTTCTCGACGTCAGCGCACCATCTATACTCATGCGCGGCCCCCGACTATCTATAGATGTAGGCTGTGTCCCTGGACTAAGACCATCTGAACTCTGGTAGCTGTCGTTTGTGGTGGCGGAATGTATTGTGGCGGAATAGGGCCCGCCTTCCGACGCCTGCGAGGGTCTGCGCGTACTGAAGAGCGTAAGATGCGATTGCCCTGACCTCAGGAATGGATCTCGGCTCTGGATATCGCTACTTCCACTGGGTGAGGTAGCACTTAAGGGAAATGCACCCCCTGGAGAAAGTGAGGTGATGGAAAGCTGGCGCCCGATTGAAGTCGGGGATTGTCCCGTTGATGATATCGACTGCCGATGCGGGTAGTTATTCACCCTGTTGATTTCTTGCTCGTTTATGGCGGTCTCGGCTAGCTCACTCAGATGGCGAAATGACGGCAATTGTTGGTTCTGGCTGGGTGAGCTTGCTGACCCCTCTCTTGGAGGCGATTGCGGGGTTTGTAGTGCAGGCAACTTCTGACTGGGCGATCCTCCTCTAGGGGGAGGTATAGTTAGCTCTCGAAGATTTGGGGAGGTCGCCAATGAGTTCTGATTCGGATAACTGTTTACAATGGACCCATGCCGTTCTGCAGTCAGATTTGGCGATGTTGCCTGGGTTGTAGAAGCGCTAATCGTGGCGGGTGATTTCGCGTCTGCTTCTGCCGCGCCGGGCGGCACTCCATTCGCTAATGTGCTGGTAGACGGCGTCTGAGACGCGGAGATGTCTGCATTGAGAGTTTCGCGATCTTGGGTATCTGGCTCCACGACAGAATCTCGATGATCGGAGAACGGCGGCGGCAGTTTAGTTATTGTAGGCGCTGTAGCGGAATTGACGTTCGTGTCGAGGGCTTCTTGGGCAAACTTTTGCAGGTCTGATGATGGGTCGTATGATGGGTCGGACGATTTGGTCTGGCTTGAAGCGGGTTCTGACCGAGCTGCTTCTGCGGGCGGGGGTGGTTCTTCCATGTCCTCGTCCTCAGCCTCAGAGCCAGAGTCGGAATTGAGCGCTCGTTGGCCGACTTCTCGGGCAATGTCTGGTCTATTCGGGTCCATAACCCGAATAAGCACAAAGTCCCCTTGGCTCGGACGGGTCTTTCTCCGATTAGACTTCTTGCGTCTTCGAGAGGAAGGAGGACTGACGCTCTGAGCAGTCGAAGATATCGTTACTTGATGCGTTACTACCGGGGGTGGCGAGGGAGATGGCGTCGCTCTGGGCTTGAACACTTCGAGGCCTGGGGATCGTGGGACAGCGTCGTCGGAGTCGTAATTGAGTGACATAAGTCACCCGATGCTGGGGCTAAGGAACGTAGCCCGCCCCAGTCACAGAAAGCAGATAGGCGGAGGTGATGGAAGGAGACAGGATCTATCTCCACAACGCCTGGGGAACGGATGCAGCGAGTGGCCCAGGGCCGGGAAGGAAGGAGCGAACGTCACAGCGGGACCAGGCTGCAGAGGTCTGGGGGCGGTCAGCATGGTCATGTGAGGCCTGCTTGCTGAGGAGCAAGTCAAGTGTGGACAGCAGAACGAAATGCACGAAACTGGCTCTAGAAAGGTGATTGAGCGGCGTGGAGCGGCGGGAAGGGCGTGCATCGGCAGCCAACAGAAGTGAGCAAGGCTGCGATCTATCACAGCCCCCCAGGCCCGGTGACAGCAGAGAGAAGGGAGCACAAGAAGAAGATTACATTCAGTGGAGCGCTGCGGCAGCTGTACATGATCCGAAACAGGAGAGTATAGGGATAGGGAACTATGGGACAGGCGCGCGCGAAGGGGCGGCGGCGCAGGTGATGCGGCTCTGCGAGGGGGAGACGTACCCGAGCGTGCGACGACTACTTTCAGCCTCAAGGCGGTGGAGAAGAGGGCGGGCGCCGATCTCAAACACAGGTCAACCAAGGCGCTGGCGCGACGAACGCATGGGGACGGCGGAAGACGATCGCAGGCCCGTCCGGCCGCGGTGCTCCAGGACAGCGAAATATGGCGAGCTCGAGGCAGGGCTGGTCTGCGCGCGCTGACCGACGGGCGCTGGCGGTGGGGGTCTCTGGCAGCGCGCTGATGAGGCCCGCGGTCGGTCGCTGCTCTGGTGCGCGGCGCCAGGGAGGCTGTGCTGTGCGTCGGACGGCGCGTCACTCAGGACGAGGGCGCGCGGTGGTGGAGAGAGAGGGCGGCGGCGTGGGAAGGGCAGACAGGACATCAGCAAGGTCGCCGCGAACCCTTGGAGGAGCTCTTCACAAGCCTATTCGAGGCGCAGCTGCGAGGTCTGGCAGCAGGCTGACCGCGCCCTCCAGGCCTCTGCGGTTCGCGGCTCTCATCAGCCTCATTCGCTCCAACTCGCCAACGCGCCCCCGCCCGCCGCGGTGAGCTGCTGCACCGGCCGCCCGCGCGCCCGTGTGCCCATGCCCTGCCAGTGCCTGCTTCTCCACGCCCAGCGCTGCACCTCCACGGCCGGCGTGTGATGCTGGAGACTAACAACTTGTCCGTCCTGCCTAGGTGGTCCCGTCGACGCCCGGCCGGAAGAGCTGTCCCTGCCTGCCCGAGGCTGAGGCTGCCCCGCTGCGTGACGGCTCGCCAACCCAGCCGCCAACCCCGCACCGCAATTCACGCTGCCCGACGAGGGTCGTGCCCTCCTCCCCCATTGAGAGATGCCGGAATATATTAACTGCTCTGCTGCTCCCAACTACCTGTTCCTACGTACCTGCCCTGCCAGCAGCCGTCTGTACAGTACAGGAAGCCTGCCCGCCATGCCCCGTTCTGCTCGCTTTCCGGGACACAAGCTGCCATGCAACGCTCGCGCATCTGCCCCATTCATCCCGTCCACTGCCGCCGCCTCGTCGCCCACCCTCGCCGTCGCCCTCACCGTCTGCCCGCCTATCGTACAGTCGTCTATCCACCCCGACCCACTGCTGGTGGTGGGAGTCCCCGTCTAATATGCATGCAAGCCGCCAACGCTCAATGAGGGACCGCTCGCCGAACCCCCACCCACTGAGAATGTGCGGCTGAGCGCCCCGTTTGGGAGGAACGAACGCCAAAAAGAAAACATTGGCTGATAAAGAAGAAGCGCGCCAGAAGCGACGGCCCCATACGAGAATCCACCCAATACCATTTTACCCTCCGTCGCGCGCCGCAACTCCCTCCCGTACAAGAAGGAATTAAGCCTGCGACTTACCGCCGAATCCTGGAATCCCCGTCCACGTCTTGCCTGGTGGCAGCCTCGGCCGCCCAAAGTTCTCGTCTAGATCGAGGATGACCTTAAGAGCGTTGCGCGATCGTAAAAGGGGTAGCGGCGCCTTTGCTTCTGCAAGCCCAACGCCCGGTTCGAGGTGGCCGCTGGGTCCTTCATCGCCGCTGTGAGTGCCGGGCATGGGGAGAGCGCTTCAGTATTGTCAGCAAACATCATCAGCTAGTGAGGGGTAATGGATGAAAACGCACCGCTGCAGCAGCTCGTAACCGGCAAGGGTGAAGCCGAACTGGGGTGAGGATCGCATAATACGGGCTGGCCCGCCCTTGAAAAACGCCTTAAATCCTTCCTGCTGGTAAATCATTTTCGCCGCATGCCGGAGGCCCGTGTACGTGGCCTCGCCCTTTCGAGCCTCGACCTGCAGCCGCGTCTTGATGACGTCGCAGGGGGTCGTGAAGTACGCTGCGGGCATGCCGGCAATAGCACCCGCTGTCAGCATCTGTAACACTCCGAGCGACTTTTGAGGGCTCTCGCCAAAGTAGTCTCTCTTCAAGTGACTGTATGCAGGGAAGTAGATCGCCGAGAATGGTACTGGACGTTGTAAGCGCCAATCTTCCTAATTGTCTTGGGGAAACAAGCTCACCGTCCCGCAGTAGACAGGCGCTAGCACCCTTGTATAAGCCGACCAAACCCAGGTTCCTGACGATCCACATCGCAGAGCGCTTCGGTGTGCCTTCGACCGTCTTTGCGACTTCGCCCTGCACTTGCAATCTAATCTTGACAATCTCGAGCGGGTTTGTGAAAATCTGCATGAACCCGGTTAACGTCTGACCGGCCAAACCCGATATCGGTAAAGCGGGGGCATATTTACCACTTGACAACCGCCAGCGGTACCACCTGCGAGGAGCTCCCAGCCCCACCAGATATTGCCCGTCTTCTTGTCTGTGAATTTTCCTCGCACCAGGTCGTTCACCGTCAGTTTGATAGCTTTTTCTGGCGCCACGCCGACGAGCTGCGGCAAAACACCAGAATATAGCCCCTTGATACCCTCGTTCTTGATCACCTTCCTCGCGCAGTCGATTGAGTTCTTGTACAAGACCTGTCCAACAGCTGAGCTTCTCTGATTCTGCATCCGCGTCTTGACCAAGTCAATAGGGTACACCATGAACGCGCCGAACGCGCCAGCAAGAGATCCGAGCGCAAAGTGGTGTATCGACTCCAGGACATCGTGTAGGATGGATCTGGTCGACGCGAACGCCTTCTGACCGGCATCTGCAATAGTGCTGGCACCTATCGAATACGCCGTGTGCCATGAGGGATCGAGGACCCGAGCGAAATCCCTCAAGGCTAGCCTCCCGGACGGATCGTCTAGACCGGCGAAGTGGAAGAGGATGTCGGCCTCCATAGGGGTGTACAAGTTAAATCGGCTAACTCGGGAGGCCTCATTCAGGAAGTCAGTACGGGTAATCTTACCGTCGGCGCTCTTGCTGGTCGCATTGCGGATGATGAGCTCAACCATGTCCATCTGCTGGATCATGTTCTGGAAAGCTCTGACGTTAGCATACGATATCTTACTTCCGGCTGAGATGTTGCAGAGGGTGGGCAGGTTTTCGAGGAGATAGTCGGACAGCTTGTGGCTTGCAGTCTCCCGAATAATGCGCTGGAACTCCTCTGGCTCGATAAATCCATCCTTGTTCCTGTCGAAGTACACGAACGCTTGCCGGACACGCTCTCCCTGCAGTCCTCGGAGCATTTGCGCAAACTGCGGATAGGTCATGACGTGGCGCTTGTCCTTGGATCCGATGTAGAGAGTCGCCCATTCCGAGTTCCAGTTGAACGGCAAGCTGTCTTCCCCCTTGTGTGCCTTCCATATCTTAAAAAATTCGTCGAAATTAATGTAGCCGGTCCTGTCACGGTCGAAGAAGCGGAAGATGACCTCGTACTCGGCGTCTGGCTTCGCGAGCAGGTTCTGGAAGACGGCCCAGTCCTGCAGGTTCACTCGGCCCTTCATGTCGCGGTCGGCGACTGTGAAAAGGATACCGTACTGGTAGCGCTTGATTTTGTGCTGCGCGCCGACGCATGGTTAGCTTCGATTGACTCGACACGTTTCAGGATGGGCCTCTCACATAGTCTTCACTCCCCGGCGCAACTGCCTCGATGAACTCGTCCTCGCTCAGGTAGTACTCGCCGGTGCTCTCATCTTTCTGAGCATGCCTCATGAAGGTCGAGCGCATGAGCTGCGACAGCTGGGGCCCCTCGGTGGTGCCCAGGAGCACCTCGCCCACCTGCTCCTTCACGGTCGCCATGGCGGGCTGCTGGATGACTGCTCAGGGTTGTAGGGAAGCAATTGGATGTGAAGGCAGTCAGTGAATCGAAGGTAGGAATGGAAAGGAGGAGGGACTGAGGTTGCGGTTGTGAGTGGGCCAACAACCAGGAGCTTGTAAGCTTGCGAGATCAGACAAAATTTAAAAGCAGCCTATCGATTAGCGTCGGGGAAATCGGGGATAGCGTGGAGAAGGAACAGGGCGCCGTGACAGCAAGCGCAAAAACGCAGCAGCAATTCAGAACCCAGTTGCAGTGCTCCAGGCGGCTGTCACTCCTGTCCTCTGAGTGAGGCCGCTCCAGCTGACTGCGTGAATTTTTTTCTGCCGTATATTTGTTATTCTTGGAGAATGATATTACCAAACGGCGCACACCGCCCATCGTGCATCAAATGACCCATGGCTCGCCTAGATCTGCGCGGCTGCTCCTGGCGTGGGGATGGGAATAAATGAGCCTTCTCCTGAAAAGCTGGAGCCGCAGTCTGGGGTCCAATCTGCTTGCGCATCGGCTTGAGAGGTGAATAATGCGGCTGTCGGCGCCCGTGAGGCTCTGCGGAGATCGTCGCCAGCTGCGGGTGAAAGAAACTTTGGTTCCTGTCACCCGTACCGCCGAAAGGCGGTGCTGAACACGACGGATAGCGCGTCCATGGATTCGTATCACGCAATCAGCTGTCAAGCTGCACTGTCGGGGAAAGTCGCTCACAACATCGGGAATGGCGCATTTGGCAACCCGGTGCACCAGAATGATCTGACCTTTTGTCCGGGTCGTCTCGCCGCGATATCTCTTCCCTGCCCTGCCCGGTTGGACCCCTGCGCAGACGGCGGGAACGGGCCTACGGGGTAGTTTGGCCCGAAGAGGTAGAGGTTGAAAATAGCAATTGGAAGCCGGCGATAACGATTACTATAGGGCCCCCGTATTCCTTGTGGCACTTCTGTATAATAGAGGTGCAATACTATACACGAATTACAAGACAAGAATGTCGAATCAGACGACTAATCGTCCTGGTTCGGCTTCAAGCACGCTCTTGACGCGCTCGAGGAAGACGCGTCCTCTCCGCTCGTCCCCCTTCGGGACGCTAACGCTAAAGACGTTCATCGGGGCGATGACTTTCTCCGCTCCGCCGACGATAGGGGCCTTGGCCGCAGCTGGCTTCTTCCCAGTAAGGAAATCTAGGACGTCGGGCTTCCTAGCTGCGGGCATCCTTGCAGTCCTCAAAGTAGTGAGCGGTAGCGCGGTCACCTGGGGCATAAAGTGACCTCGACCGTACTTTGTGCCAGCAACCTTGTCCAAACCAAGCACAGCGTCGAAGAGTTCATCAGCAGAGGGCTTCGCTGTCTTCGAACGAGGCAAGTCCTCGTTTGCTAGCTCTGCGGCGCGCGCGACGAATGTCGAGAGAGGCAAGAATACTCCGATGGATTCTTGCACGCGCTTCTGGCATTCCATAACGGCTTTGAGGGAGACCGAAAGCGCAACCTCAACGTCTGGCTCCTCAACTACCGTAGGAGCCTCGGGAGCTGGAGCAGGCTTCTTGGGCGCTACCTCCTTCGGTGCTGCAGGCTTGATGTTCGAAAGGTCAAGGTGAGCGAGCTTGCCTATCCGTTCGGACAATTCCGCTGCATAGGAAACCCGGATGCGCCCAAGGTATGCAAGAACATCGCCCTTCAACAGCCTGCCATTGGGTCCAGTGGCAGGAATCTTGTCTGCCTCCTCTTTTGGCAGACCGTTCTCTTTCAGCAGATGTTGGACAGACGGATACAAGGGATACGTCTGCTTCTGAGCCCTCCCGCCAGTCGCTTCTTTGGACGCGTCTGAGGATGCGGGCTTCGGAGGGGGTGCAGTTGCCTCTTTCTTGGGTCCCGGGGGTGGCTCCTTCTTTGGTTGCTCTTTGGCAGCGTCGGCTTCCTTCTTCGGCGCAGGAGTATCTTCCTGGGGCATTTCGAGCGAGCTCAGATCATCGCCTTCCTCCGCTGTGACTGCTATCCTTGAGCCGACCTGGACCGCCTTGGAGCCATCGCCTTGCTGCGAGGATTGTTAGCCCTTGCCTCTAGCATCCACGCTGGGAACTCCCCCACGTACTATGATCTTTGCCAAAATGCCGTCGTCCTGCGCCTCGACGTCCATCTGTGCCTTGTCTGTCTCGATTTCGAGGAGGACATCTCCGGCCGCAAAGGAATCGCCTGAAAACGGTCAGCCGCTTACTCCCCGAAGGCGCAAGTGCAAAGTTGACGCCTATCGTACCTTCCTTCAGCCTCCACTTCGAGATATTGCCCTCTGTCATTGTCGGCGAAAGCGCTGGCATGTTGAAGTTCTGCGCTGCCAGCGAAGCTTGCCCTGCATGGAATGCTAAATCATCGTTGTCAGTCCCGATGTGAATCCCGGAGCTGACGAGCTTGTACCTCTGCGTGTGCCATGATTTCGGAGCTGCTGCGTCGCAGCGCGCGCCGAAATTCTACATGCTGAGGCAATCGACGCCATGGAAGGTCAATTGGCGCAGGAGAGGAGTCGTGGAGGCTGAGGTGGGCAGCAGATGGGTGAGTTGTTGAAGAAACCATGCCCGGAGGTCCCAACGACCGGACCTGGTCTGTGCGCGCTCCGAACATTTTCGAGCTCGACGCGACGAGGACGCCGCTGCATTGATTACGTCCGGTGGCTCCATTCGCTTTCCGAAACTCGCGTGTGCAACTTCGAATCTGTGGTATGGGTGTCTTCAGCTGATATCACCAGAATGGCTGCCTTTTCTCGGGGACTGCCCAGCGTCCTCCCCCAACGGTCGTTCCACTTTCCTTCGTCGATTCGCGCTGCCATTTTCAAGGCGCAACCACGCTTTACCCAGTCGCATGCGCCAGCCCGAAGTTTTTCATCCTCAGTTCTCCACAGATACCAATCTCCCGCGTCCTCCCGATCATTCGTAAGCTCAGATCCTGTGCTCCGAACCGTCATACAAACCCGCGAGCCCGTCCTACTCTACAAAGAGCCGGCAAATAAATGGTACCTATGGAAAGTCTACGGTCTCGCATGCACCTGTGTTGGTATTGGCTTGTATAACTGGAAGTTCGCCGTTGAACTGCCCAAGGATATGCAGTGGTTCGTCCCGCCTACGTACTACGTTATTGGATTCGCCATGCTCGCAATCGGCTTTCACGTATTCACGAGACCCGTCCGTCGCATACATTCGCTCGAAATCATACCTAATACAATGGGTGGGCCGCTACAGTTGCGCATAAGAGCAAGGATTGCGCCCTTTCTGAAGGAGCGCGTAATACTTGCAGACCTCACAGAAGCTACGATATCCGAGAAGACGGCGCCAATGGTGGCGGAACTTGTAGAGGCGGACAGAGCAAGAAACCAGAGGCTAACGGAGGGCCTGGAGCACTTGTCCATCCTACCTCGCATATGGGAGCTGGCGGCACGCTGGCTAGAGCAGAAATGGACATCCTTCTTTCTGAAGTTCAAGTTCGCCGTGCTGCGCTTTGGCATTGCGCAAGTGGAGGTGAATGGCGTAAAGTGGAAGCTCGACTGCTCCGGCTGGTTGCTGGACGAGGGAAGAGGTACTCCAGTCCCCATTCCTACCTTCCGTACCTGCACACTAATACTCAAACAGCCATTGATCGCATAATTATCGAAGAATAAGGCGCGGCGGCTCCCTACCGGTTCGCCTACAGTTACGGACTCCCCTCAATCTCTTGTAGTTTTGCGGATTGTGCACCTCTTGTAGTATTATGATCCGAGGCACATCGAGGTCACATGATTAGCCCTGACCTGGCGTCGGCTGTAGGATACCTGTAAATTATTAAAAGACTCTGTTGCAGAAACGCCACGTCTGCTACAGTGGCAGCCTTGACGTACATACTGTTTATACTACTGCCTTTATTTTGCGGAAACGCCCGTTCATGCATAATGGCTTACCTCTCACAATCCTTGACGTTGCGATCACAGTCCGAGATGGAGAAGAGTCTAGAGATGAGATGGCTGGTGGGTGAGTTGAAGAGACCAGATTGTAGGAGCTCTACTTGAATACCTATCGGGAAATGCCGCTAGGGAGGCAAATGGATGTCATTACTTTCTCTCCTCTACCGTGATAGATGGCTAAAAAATACGTCACGAAATCTGGCAGACTCGATAACAATTTCAGACAGTCTTGCTAGTCCTTCCAGGGCTTTGTGGTGATGGGGCTCGCCTGAAGATGCAACACCAAAGCGGCTTAGTCATAGTCTATCCGCACTTTAGGGTCACGTCAGGGATGACTGCGATACAGCACCTCAACGCGAGTTTTAGGGCAGATGGGTGGGCTCTGGAAGGAATGGCAAAATATCTTGCTGTGTGCATCAGAGCGATGGCGGATTGCGCGATGTGGCTAGGGCTTGCTAGAATGCTTCAAGGAACGAAACTCTATCTGACAGATCACAAGTCTTTCTCGATGCCAAATCGTTCGCGCTGTTCTGAAAAACGGCATTGTCTGCAGGGTCTGGGCGGGATAGAAGGTCCCCAGCGGGTGGAAAGCGGCCTGAGGCACGTGCACGCGAACCACACGTGCTTCCCCACAGGTTTGACAGCGAGGGCAGGGAGACAAGCTTTTGAGCCGCACCTGTACCTGCAGTCGATCACCGGCGGCGGCGAGGGGCTGTCGAAAAGATGCGGTTTTATATCCTCGAAATGCCACTCGAGGACAGACAGGAGACTCCCGAAAAGTGGCCGATTTCGATGTTGGCACTGTGCTTTCAACTGCCATGCCCCAAAAATGGCATCGAAGCGCGGATGGGCTGGGAAATATTGCATTTCGTTGTCGTTGTGAATCCATCATGGTCTGTTGCTGCAAATGTCATTCTGGGAAGGCAGGAGCCTAGTTGGCGCCGTGTGGCCCGTGCGCTTCACGATTATTTGGCGCACGCCAACGCCCTTCAAAGCCAACCCACATCGACAGCCCCCCCGCTGCACATTCGCACGCGGGTGTCTGCCTTCGCCATTTCGGTTCTTTGTGCACTCTTCGTTAGCAGCCTTTCACCCCAAGTGCAGTCGCTCGTATCTGCGTCGGGTTGCAGCCTGTGCGCGTCATCCTCCTGTTGCGCCCTCGACGATCGCGACAACACCGCCTACGACCAGCCGCAAACTGCCATCACAACCGCTTTCAACATCGCAGTCGCGGATGCAGAAGGTGCTCTGCCTGCTGCCGATGCCATCTTTGTATTGAGAACATCTCTCGTGCGCGGTGTAAGGTTGTCCTCGCTCGGCGCGCCCCCACCGCTCGTTCACTTACCGCGACGCCCACAGCCCTGCGCGCAGCTTCACCGCAACCATCTCCATGTCTAGTCGCTCGAAGAGGAAACTCGAGCTCTTCGATCCAAACGCGTCTGATCCCGAAGACCTCGATTGGGACGCTGCTGAGCGACCGTCGCCCCAGAAACGCCGCAAGCGACCATCGTCGGCCTCCAAGAGGAAGGCGCCGAAGCGCCCGCGTCGTGGGTATAACGGCTCTGACGTCGACGACGACGAAGAAGAACTAGTTTCCGACGACGATTTCACCGAGCGCTCGTCTTCCGAGGATCTAGAGATCAACCCGCACACCGGCCGAAGCGTGCGCCGCGCGACGAAGAAGCACGTCAAGTACGAGGAGAGCGAAGAAGACGAGATCGAAGACACCCCTTCCGAGGACGACGAAGACGCCAGCCCCGTGCCGAATCGCCACAAGGCAAAGCAGAGCATTGAGAGGCCATCCCTCATCGTGAAGCTGAAGATGCCTAATCACCCATCTGGAAGGAACTTGCGCACCCGCCAGGGCAGCAAGTCCATCGCGCGCGGTAAGACGCCCGAAGCAACAGGCACTCGCCGCAGCAGCCGTCTCTCGCATGATGTTGAGACTCCAATCGTCGCTCTCTCCGACTCCGGTAAACACGTCAACATCCTCCGCCAGGGTACGCGCAGCCCAGAGCCAGTCCTCTCGCGCGCCACGCGAGGAGGCAAAGGCCCCATGGTCCAGCAGCCCAGCGCTATCATGGAAGCTTCCCAGGAACAATCCATGGTCCGCGATGACAGCGCCGGTCCGCTCGACGAGCTTCTTGCTGAGGGCAATGAGACCCAAGTGCAGGCTAGTCACGAAGGCTCACCGGAGCATGAAGCCCAAGTCGCCAAAGACGATGGTGAAGGTGAAGATGATGAAATGGAGGGCGTCGTTCAGGAGTCGCAGCACGAAGCCGCCGCCGATGACTCGGAAGAGGAGGGCCCAGTTACCCGAGGCGGTAGAAACTTGAGGGTGAGTAGCCATCTCACAAAGCGTCCAGCTGAAGCTAATGACACTAGTCTCGTGGAAAGTCCGCCAAGCGCAAGCGGGGCGTGGATGAAAGTAGCGACTTCGAACCCGCTCCGGAAGACGAGAAGGAGGAAGAAGAGATGTCGGAGTCAGACCATGGAAAGGGTCAGCGGTCGACGTCCGAGGATAGCGGATCCGGCTCAGGCCGAAGATCAGCTCGCATTCGAGCAAAGACAAGACAGAGAAGCAGGCGCAATTCCGACTTATCAGATCAAGATTCTAATCTTGACTTTGACGAGCTAGCTGAAGAAGCTGAGGAGCTGCAAACAAACAAGCGACGCCGTCTAAACAGGCGCGTGCCAGACCACGACCTTACCTACGACGCGGCCCCCAAGCTGCGCAACCGCGTCCGCAACAACGTCGATTATCGCCTGATCCGCCCGGAGTTGAATGCTGTCTTTGATGATGAAGAAGCCGCTGGAGCCGCTATTGAGAAATCCCGTTCCAAAGGACGCTCAACCTATCGCAGCCTCTTCAGTAACCAAGGTCCGTTCGGTGGCGCTCTGGAAGCCGGGGCTCCCGGCGCTGTGGGTGGTATGGACTCCGACAGCAGCGACGACGAAGTTCAGAAGATGCCAAGGGGTGTCGGCGGCACCATTGGCATGACCCCGACAACCGCGACAGCGCCTGGCTTCGGCTTCCCACAAACCCACAACGCCGACCCTCAGCAAGCGACTGGAGCGGGCGGCGGCCCAGCCAACTTCGGAAAAGTCAAGGACAAGAAAGCTCTTGCAGACGCCGATCCCCTTGGTGTTGATCCAACTGTCTCCTTCGAGGGCGTCGGTGGCTTGGACGACCATATCAACAAGTTGAAGGAGATGGTCATGCTACCCCTCCTCTACCCCGAAGTCTTCCAACGATTCAAGATTACTCCACCTCGAGGCGTCTTGTTTCATGGCCCTCCGGGTACTGGAAAGACGCTCCTTGCTCGCGCTCTTGCCTCTAGCGTTAGCTCCCAAGGTCAGAAGGTCACCTTCTACATGCGTAAGGGTGCCGATGCTTTGAGCAAGTGGGTTGGCGAAGCCGAACGGCAACTTCGTCTTCTCTTCGAAGAAGCACGCAAGACCCAACCAAGCATCATCTTCTTTGACGAAATCGATGGACTGGCTCCTGTGCGCTCTAGCAAACAAGAGCAGATTCATGCTTCCATCGTCGCGACTCTTCTTGCTCTCATGGATGGCATGGATGGCCGTGGCCAAGTCATTGTTATCGGCGCCACCAACCGGCCCGATTCAGTCGATCCAGCATTGCGACGACCCGGTCGATTCGATCGCGAATTCTACTTCCCTCTCCCAAACCTAGCCGGACGACGAGCTATTATCGACATCCATACCAAGAATTGGGATCCGCCTCTAAAGCCTGAGATGAAGGACCAACTCTCCGAGTTGACGAAGGGCTATGGAGGTGCTGATCTTCGAGCTCTTTGTACAGAAGCGGCCTTAAATGCAGTTCAAGGAACCTTTCCCCAGATCTATAGCTCAGAGAAGAAGCTCCTCATCAACCCAGCCAACATCAAGGTCCTTGCGAAGGATTTCATGATATCGGTCAACAAGATGGTCCCATCTTCCCAGCGCACAGTCACCGCCAGTGCAGCTCCACTCGCTAAGAGCATTGAGCCTCTGTTGAGGAAGCCGCTAGAGCGGATACTTCGGCGCATTGATGAGCTCATCCCAAGGAGGAAAAAGCTCACAGCTCTTGAAGAGGCCCAGTATGATGACCGAGACGACGAGAAAGGCTTCGAGCGAGAAACTACTATGCGTAACTTCGAGACCGGCAGAATCTTCCGGCCGCGTTTGCTGATCAACGGTCTGCGAGGCATGGGCCAGCAATACCTCGGTGCGGCCTTGCTCAACAAGATCGAAGGTCTCCATGTTCAATCGTTTGATCTTCCGACCATCCTTGAAGATCCCGCTCGCACCCCAGAGTCAGCGATTACCCAGTTATTCACCGAGGTCCGGCGTCACAAACCAAGTGTCATCTACATCCCCCACGTTGACGTGTGGTACCAAACACTTCCTGGGCCTGCCGTCAAGACCTTCAAACTTCTACTGCGGAGTGTTGGCGCAAATGAACCAATCTTGCTCCTAGGTGTCATGGAGCGGGCTAATGAGAAGGAACGACCGGATCCCCAGATGCTCATGGACCTTTTCTCATTCTCGAAGCATAACCAATTTGAGCTACCGAGGCCAGATCGAGAGGGCCGTGACGAGTTCTTCAACAACATCAGTCACTACATCAGGATGTCACCAGCGGATTTCCCCGATCCAGATAACAGGAAAAAGCGAGACTTGCCTGAGCTAGAACCCGCGCCTATTACGGCTCCCATTATTGACCCTCAAGAACTTGCAGGTCGGGAGAAGTGGCAGAGAAAGCAAGATCGCATGACCCTCAACAAACTCAAAATCGCCATCCAGCCTGTCATGGACCAGTTAAAGAAGGCATACAGGAAATTCTTCAAGCCTGTCATCGAAGAAGCGTGGTACGCCTATCTCCTTGAGGAAGATGATCCTCACCACATTACAACAGACCTCCCGCCTGAGCAGCAGCAAGAGCACGGTGACAACCGACCTTGGGCGCGCTCAAAAGATGCACGTGGAGTCGATATTCTACTTCATGTTCCAAGCGGGAACAAGTACTACAATCTTGATCTTAACAACATTGAGAAGCGCCTTTCGAATGGGTACTACAAGCGTCCTAAAGACTTTCTATTCGATATCAAGACTCTGGCTAAAGATTCCAAAACATGGGGCGACCCCGAGCGAACATTGAAGGCAAACGAGATGCTAACGAACGTTGAGGTGGACATGGACATGATCTGCAATAACAACTCTAGTCTAGCAGCAGAATGCGAAGCTGTCTATCTGCGGGAGCTTGACAGGGAGCGCAAAGCTAAGGAGAAGCGCGAGAAAGAGCTTGCTGCCGGCAAAGAAACCACAACCGAGGTGGCTAAGGTACCCCCACATCAATCGCTAGGCACGACCACCGAAGGGTCCGGCCCTATCACACTAGGGGTGCCTGTCCCTGGATTGTCAGCGATGCCCCCAGTGACGCCCTTGCGAGCGTTCCCACCCACAGGCCCGTTAACAAACGGTACGAGCACAGAGGAAGCTGGCCATACTGAGCAGAACGGATCCACCGTGCCATCTCGACCAGATGATGATGCCCATATGACAGACAGTCAGGATCTCAACGCCAATACTCAACACCAGTTCCAGACGCCCAGCAGAGTTGGCACGCAGACTCAGAAGTCGCAAGTTTCCGCTCAGACCTTCATGGCTCCGAACTCTCACCCAGGAGAGTACCACAACAGCGCATCGACCACAACGTCCGGCCAGAAGACATCAGACCGATCTTCCGGAGCGAGGTTCAACACTCAGAGCACCAACGGCGTGGCTCCCGCTGGCGTTCCCGACTTCTCGGAAATGATACCTCAGGGGGGAGGGTCACAGCTTCCCGATACGCAAGGTTTGTCAAGTTCGTATACTCGACTCCAACGCCCTGCACGGTTCACAGCTAACTTGTCGCCAATTCCAGAGGTCCACTACATCAGCAGTCAACCTTCGAACTCGCAGCCATCTCAATCATCACAGCACAAAAACATGCCGGCTCCTGCGCCTCCTCGACACACATCGAATATCAACGCCGTTCTGAACGACGCTGCCGAGCCACAGCTCCTGCTAGACGAAGTTCAGCTGAAGGCTTTGCGTGAACACCTCGTGGCGAAGGCTTCAGGCTGTTCACTGGAACAGCTGGAGCAAGTCAACGCTGCCCTTATGGACACCATCTGGAAGCACCGAGCAGAATGGAACCGCAACGTTGTGATGCACAAGGTCTCTGAAGCTTTCAATGAGATCATCTCGGATATCGAGACCATGCAGCAGATCAACAAGTCGAGCCAGGACGAGCTGGAGATGCTACAGACGCAGCTCCCTTCAACGCAGCTAGCTCGGTACGGCTACTCCGAGACTCAACAACCCGACACTCAGTATTGGGGCTCTTCGCGTCAGCCGCAGAGTGGACAGCATGGTCCAGTTGAGCCGTCTCAGTATCCTTGAGCAACGACTGCATCGGCCATTCGAAGTACCGTACCAGCCTCACGATACGGCATCTCACACATTGCAACAACCAACGAACCATAGCGTTCAGCAGGCAGCGGATCATCAAAATCACGCAAGCGATCTCTTTTCGAATTTCGCCTCGACGAGGCACTGCACATTGCACTCTTTCCCTGTACGATTCCCCATGATTTCACTGCTTTTACCACATTCGGCGTTTCAAATGAAGACTCGGCGCCTTTTCCACTGGCGTAGCATGCATGCATCCAAGAGATTTCCCTGTCGTCCCCCTCCTACACATATTGTACCATTGTGCTACATCATGAGTCGTCCGGAGGAACGGTTGCTTGATCGGATGTCCGGCCTAGGCGGCAGGAAGGCTAGCATAGATAGAGACTTTTTGCTTTTCATAAGGGTCAATGTCGAGACGAGACTCGGGCTGGTGCTCCGGGTACGATGCGTGGAAAGGGTGTATATATGCATACGTGTGAAGAGTAGGTAGCGAACCATGCTTTTCTCTCAACTCAATGTGACGAAGTGCCTAGATCGTTGCTCGCCTTTCGCGATAGTTTATTTTCTTCAGCCTCATTCTGATCGATGTCAGGCCGCGATGTCCAAATGTACTGATATTAGTTTTACTGCTCTGCTATGCTGGTTGCTCTAATGCGCGCCTACACGGATAAAGAAACCTCAACTTCCCCTCTATTTAACGCGGTCCCGCATACCGTGCTACAAACCGAGGCGGTGCACTCCTCGCTGCTGCATGAGCGGGGACAGTGTCTGCGTCGGCGGTGTATCCCTCCACTGAACCATACCTATAGCCCGCCGATGCAGGCCTACTTTCGGTTGTTAGGTTGCTGAGCGGGATTCTCCTTCGCTTACTGTCGTACAGATCACAGACCCGCTCACTGCTTCCGGTGAATGGGGCAATCTCGCAGATCAGGTGCGATAAGAATCGATTCGATTCGATTCGATTCGATTCGATGTTGAGCAGCACAGGGAATGCTATCAGATCAGATCAGCCAACCCGCAGCGCATGCCTGCGTGCTGACGCCGAGCGGGATGGATGGATGGATGTGCGCGCGGATCGTCCCTTGGACTCCCCATGTCCGTAGCCCACTGCGGTCCAATACTGTACTCGGACTCCTGTACCAATGTACCTGCGCGGCGCTCAAAATAGATCTGCAGAGACAATAATGCTGTTGGTGGTGCCCGATATACGGACGGACTTGGCCGTGTTCAGCCTCACACAGCGAGGGAACTGGGTGCGCGGAGCTGCGTAGACGCAGGGGTATCGTATCGCTTCCAGGCGTGCTGTAGTGGGACGAGTACAGTACATGTGACTGTATCGGTGATTATGTAGCGAGCGGAGCGGATGTGCGCGCTTTGATTTCGTGTAACGGCAGCTGATGGGATGCGAAGCGATGACTTCGTGCTGCGAAGAATCTGACATGCGCGCAACGCAAGCGTGCGCAGAGTAGGATGAGAGGTTATTCATTGGGCCACGGGGAGAGTAAGCACTGCGCAAGTGCGGCACCGTCGAAATAAGCTCATCATCGCTCGTGCTTGAACGCGGGTGGTGGAATCGGAGCCGTACGTACCGTATATCGGGGTTCGGCCAACACGAGCTGAATGTTGACAGTTTACTAGAATGGGAAGGCGAGGATTACGTGTTGCGAGTTTGGTGCATGAGAACACGAATGTTGGTCGTACCAGACCGATGAGAGTGAAAACGACGGCGGAAGGAAAAGAAGGGGAAACTGGGACCATGTCGAGGTTCCTCGTCGCAGAATCTCAAACGTGACGAGGTGATAGCCGCAAGGATGCTGAGGGAAGCGAATCCGAGCATCGTGCCAGGTACGTAATCGTCGACAGGCACCATGACCCTTGAGAACCCACGCCCGAAGAATCTCGGGGTCCTCACAAACCTCCTGGTGGTGGAAGTCGAACACGAGCCTCGTGCGGCGCCCGTCACGAATTCCGCTCGGTGATCATTCGGCACGGCCTTCTGGCTTGCGGCGTGTGGCTTGCTGTCAATTTCTTGTCTTCGTTAAGGCGAGCGGTTGTCCGCAAAAACAAGCCCCCGGATTCGGCGCCACTTGTCTCAGGCAAAGTAAATGAGAAGGTACATACCGGTAGTGTGCGGCTTGGCGGAAGGGGGGAGAAAAAGAGTTTGGATGGGGTAGAAGGGCCGACTGAAAAGCCGGTGGTTCGAAGGCTCCGCGCGCGTCGGCCCGTTAATGAGGCGGCGGTGGATGTTCCAGATAGACGACGGTTTTGAAAGGACAGCAATGCGCGATAGGAGGTTTGTCGGGGGTGTGAGATACTGTGTCCTCTGGAGAGTTGAGCATTGCGTTCGATGCCTAATTCTCCTGTTGCCTGCCTATCGTCATAGTTATGCCCATCTTTTCCAGGATGCTTCGCTACCAAGGCTCCGTTTCGACAATCACCAGCCTGGTGCACAATGCGGGAGCTACGGAGGGTATAGCAGAGCTGCTATAGCCACGGGGCTCTTCCGTGGACGTGGATCCCGTGATGCCGTCGCGTACCGGTACTTTGCATATTGTTGTTTGCCCGCGACTCTGGTCTGCGGTAGCCGTACCGTGCCCGGCTTGCGGCAGAAAAGCCCGTCTCCCATCTCGGCAGCGAAAGCTCGTAGACTACGGACTTCGAAGCTTCCAATGCCATGGCTGCTCAGAGCGCGGTTGACAGGATGTCGCTTCGGCGGTTGCCGCTAACATTTTTGGCGCCGCCAGCCCGCATTGGCTGAGCTGAACCCTGAGGTCGCTCGCAAGGACCTTCGCGAACCGAACCGCATGCTGGCCCCTTCATCCTGAGAGACAGCCGTGGATTTTGATGAGCAGCGCGTGCGGAGGATTGCGGTCCTGGTAAAGGGGGGCGTCTCGGCAGCTAGTGTCGATCAAAATTGGGCTGGAGACCAACTTCGAGCCTCGCGTCTCTCCTCTCCCATCCGCAGCACTATCTATCAAGCGTCTTCCATGCCGTTCGACTTGACGTCCAATTCACCCAGCTTGGCGCTCCTTCCGTCTCAAACCTCATGCAGGCCATCCCCCTCAAGGCTAGGCGCAGACCCAAGCGCAGCCCTTTACCCGTGCCCACCTCGTGTATGGCCGAGAAAACGCCACAGACTCTGCTATAAGGCCAAAACACGGCTTGGCACAGTCCTTGCCCAAGCTATGATTCGAGGCTCGCGCATCAGATGACGCTTTCTTCCTCCAATCGCGCCGAATGACATGCAGTTGTCGTCCACCTCGAGCTCCCGGCCAAGCGACACCACGTTCGAGTGGCTTCGCTTTCACCTTTCGAGCCGTCTTCTAGCTTTTCTAGACGGGCGTCGAAAGGCGCGGGCAGCACAGTGGCGTGTTCCGCGCCGTCCAGCTGCAGAACAACACGAGGGGTCTCAACACCCGGACTCCCGCACGTTCTTGCTCCTTCATGCCACGGCTTTGGCACGGCCCTTTTCGGTCTTATCCCCCAGTACCGGGGCCATCCTACCCTTCGGGGGCCTATGGACCGGGGTTCCAGTCTGAGTGGCTCGCTAGCCTGATTACTGACCCTGCTCTACGTGAGGACGTGATAGTCAGCACACCGTTCCCCTCCTCTTCGCCTTCTGGGCAGTACTTTATCATTGCGCTCCCAGTGGAGTACCAAGCGGTATTTTTCCACCGCGGTCCGTCTTGCCTGGCCCTTAGCTGGCGATATCGACCGTCTCCCTTTGGCTTGAAGTCCTCTGCTCCACGTTTATCATCCCGATATGGTGCCGGATCGCATTTCGAGAGTCTTCCCTTCTGGTGCGTGATTTCGCGCCGCCGTGATTCCGCCCGCGACTGTTTTCAACGACAATTCTGCGATGATTCCGCTGGAGCCTCTGGATGTTGATTCGAGGACGCTGCCGGTGCTCCCCCCGCATATCCACCCGTGGCTGCGCTCCGTCGTCGTTCTCGGCTTCCTCTCATTCGTCGCTTCCGTCACGCTGCTCGTCCTACTCGCCTATCGCCTCATCAGCTGGCAGATCAAGTCCAAACGCACAAATCAATTCGTCATCCTCATCTTCAACCTCCTCTGGGCCGACGTTCAGCAGTCCCTCTCGTTCCTGCTCAACGTTGAATGGCTCCGTTTGGATTCGATCGTCGTCGAGAACCCGATATGCTTCGCGCAGGGCTGGCTTGTGTCTACCGGTGATCTGGGGAGCGGCGTGTGGTGTTTTATGATCGGGTTACATACTTTCGCCTCCGTAATATTCGACTTCCGATTGAAGAAACGATGCTTCTTCCAGACCATAATCGCGTTATGGGTCTTCATATACGGCGTGTCCGCAATTGGGATCATGATGTATTCGACCGACTTATATGTGCGCTCCGGCGTCTGGGTGAGAGTGGCATGCGCACTGTAGCTCTCGTCGCTGACCGGTTTGCAGTGCTGGATTCATCATGACCTCCAAGATTTACGCCTCTGGACACACTACGTCTGGATCTTCATATTGTAAGTACCTTCTCGTGCTTCTTTGGCCGAAGGAGCTTACCATATCAGCGAGTTCGGCAACGTTTTCATCTATGCCCTAATCTACACGATCCTCATTCAGCGTATCCGGTCCGGGTACTACACCGCAGCGGAGGCCAGGCGCGTGAAGGCCGTTTCGAACCTCATGGTCGTCTACCCCGTTGTTTACGTCATCTGCACGCTGCCTCTAGCCTCGGCGCGAATGGCGGCAATGGGTGGTAAACCGCCCTCGCTGTCCCGGCTGTGTCTCGCAGGAGCTATGATCACGTCAAACGGCTGGCTCGATGTCCTCTTATACACGCTTACGCGCCGCATCATGGTCTTCAGCGACGAACCACCTCCAGACGACAACGGCATCGACACCTTTGCAGCTTTCTGGTCTGAGTCGCCAAAACGGTTCGGAAATGGTTGCAAGATTGAGGCGGTGCTCTCGGAACAGCACAGGAGACGTGGAAAGGGTATGGTAGCGCTATCTACCAAGAGCGATAGCGCCGACGACCTATGCGGTGTTGGAAGTCGGGACATCAGACTCGTCACCACGACGCACGTCGTATCGGAGCCAGCCCAGCCGGCGGATTACGAAGAAATGGAGGAAATAGCAAGGAAGATGCGGCCGAGGACACCGATTGGACGATGGAGCGAGGACAGCGCTGGAATGAAAGACTTGGAATTGGCGCACATACCGGACTGACCGATCCACTTCCCGCGCGTTTGACCACGTTCCGAGAGTGATGACGGCCTTCAAGATGGTTGCTTTTTCTGGGATACCGATTCGTGTAATTGTACGATGGAATGGTCTTGCATTGGGCGGCGAATGGGTAACATGGGCATTTCTGGAGGCATGGGAACGGTTGCTCTTTCGCATTTGCATGGAACAGGGACGAAATTCGGTCCGGGTAACAAAATCTTTCGTAGTAAGGTATGGTCGGCGGACGAGCATACGTCTGCAACCTCGCCCACCAAAATAAACCAGCCAACCAACCAGCAAATTTGCCTTGGGCAAGGCCATAGGGCTTAGCAGTCCGCACTATTCTAGAGAGTCAGCTCAGCCCGCACTTCACCCTCGAGAGCGCCAGAAACGCTGGCAAGCCTGAACATCCACTTCTCTCAGAAAGATGAAAACAGCTGTGTTCTCCTCTTCTCGGGCAAGTTGCGACCTAATTCAGCTCGTGCTGCTTACGCCGAAGCCGTCGATTGTCCACATACCAGATGGCATCCTTTGGCCGGTTAACAATATCAGGAATCACAGGCACCAACGAGAACAGCCTTACGCTTGCGAACATTAGCCTTGATTTCTCCCTGCTGAAGATCATCCCTCCGAGGGAATTTCTCGAAGTCGGCAACAGCCTGTCTACCTTCCGTAAGCAAGAAGCAGAGGAAGGCCGCATCAACCAGACTGCGCGGAAGCTCGGCGCTCTCTTCGAACCCATTGTACCTCCGACGCCCCGACTACTGCGAAGTCATGGCAGAAGGGCATCGGAAATCGCCCAATCTGCCGCGTCATCGGCCCCGAAGGCGCAAGGGCTGTTCAAGAAACAACCGGGCATTGATGGGACGAGCATTTGGGCAGCCGCCACCTCAAGTTCAGGCGCGCTCCAAGTGCATTTGCTGGCTTGCATGCTAGGCCCGGATATGGGAGCAAAAAGATGCCATATCCATCTGGGAAGAGCTCATGAAAGGCAGGGAGGTGGAAATTGAGGAGTCCTTTCAAACCGAGGGCGGCGTGAGCATCGCAGCATGCAGCTCATATCTCGCCTCACGCCAAACAATCACATTGCATCGGTATATCCGTCTTCAAGAGGGTGAGCTGCTAAACGAGCACACGATGGAACTTTGCAGTATCCTAGCGGTTACAAGCGATGGGTAGGCCGTCGACCTAAAGACGAGTCCCCAACCATGAACAGTCGGCTCGAAGGAGACACCTTCATGGGCTTTCCACATGCTCGAAAGCTTGGAAGCAAGCAGAGTGTTGGTGAAATGGACGGCGGCCAGACTGTTGATGAAATGGTCGAAATATCTACGACGTCAGCAGTCGCCGAGCTAGAACTCCCAACGAGCCACTGTGAGCCTCAACGTCAGGAAATTGAATCGACGACGTTACTAGAGCCACCGAACCCGACGACCCACTCTAATACTCGGCTTCAAGGAATTTGAACTTGCGGCATTACCAATCGCGGAGCTACTGAACCAGACGAGCCACGCTGAACCTCGAGTGCAGGAACTTGAAAGCTTAGGTGGGGTCGTCCTCTTTATCGAAGATGAGCCCTTAGAGACACTGGAGAAGTTCAGCGATATCCGGACTGTTTGGGGCAAGCCTAACGAGATGAACGAAACTGAGTCCCTGACTATAGGCCGTAGGCGTGGCGCAGTTGCTGAGTCAACTAGCGCGCTCAAATGACCAACCCCCAACGTTGAGCCTCGATCAGTTCCTGCAACCCATCATTTCCTAATCTACTCTTTTACACTCTGGTGACTTTAAAAGACCTACGATGGAGGTACACCACTCCTTACAGGGCAGCCTATATGATCTCGCCATCCTTTCTCATGGCGTCTCCGGCGTGGTCTTTGAACTCCCCGATTCTACCGTTGTCAAGGTGCCTTGCGGTTCCGATCAAAGCAGAGAGGAACTTGCCATCGAAAGTACCATCTACAATCGCCTAGGCTCCCATCCCTACATTACAAAGTTTCTCTACACATACAAGGGCATGATTGTCCTCGAACGTCTCCAGTATCCCCTCCGCAAGCGGCTCTGGGACCTACGTAATGCTGGAGCGCCACCCCCAGCTACAGATGTTCTACGATGGGCTATCCAGATTTCGCAAGCACTCCAGCACGCTCACTCGCGCTGCGTTTTCCAGGTTGACATCGGCCCGCATAATATCCTGTTAGACGGGTTTGAAGACGCGAAGTTATCCGATTTCGCTGGGTCATCAATTGACGGTTCCGCGCCTTCAGTGCTGCCCAGCCCGCACTCACAGTACCCAAATATGCTAAAACCTTCAATACAATCCGAGATGTTTGCGCTTGGCTCTACGCTATACGAGATTGAGACAACACAACAACCATACTGTGATAAGAGCGACAAGGATGTTGAAGAATTATTTAGGGCGGGAGACTTCCCAGATACAAGCGCGCTGATGCTAGGGGAGGTTATAAGCAAGTGCTGGAGGGCGGAGTACGAAGACGTTGGCGAGGCAGTGAAAGATATTACGCGTATTCAGAGGAAATACGCGAATGCGGTGGAAAAGCGGCATGGAATTGTCTAGTGGAGGCAGAGGGAAGGCATATCGCTGACGTACCACTATTATGCGGCTAACACATATACAGCCGTACTTTTATCTCCTTCGGCATCGTTCTTCTTATCGCTATCTACCTCTGTCACAATCGAGCCCCGTCGTTGGAATGGCTTTATAGGACGCAACGTCCTGTTCATTAATGGGACATCCACAAACGCTGCATTCAGGCAGATGCCAGGGCATCCGCCGCAGGGGTGATCGTGGAGCAGCCATGTGAGAGGAGGTTTGGAAGAGTTAGGTGTTCGAGCAACAGTGCGGATTCTTGGGCGGGGCTAGTGAAAGGAACTGCGAGCGAGCTGACGTGCCTGCCACTAGCAATCGCGCAGGCAGCCGCCTACCTGAATATGAATGGAACATCTATTGCGAAGTACTTGCAGCTGGTTCGGAACATGGAGCATGCCATCGTCGGCCTGATGAATAGGGAGTTGCGCGACGACAGGCGATATAAGGGCTCGGTCAACGCAGTGACCATGACGTGGGTGGTGTCGTTCGGCCAGATTCGCGCGCGCGATGCGGCAGCATGCCCGACGCAACAGAGAAGGCGCTTCGCCACATGGCAGACAGGTTCCCGTCCGACGACTGCGCGAACCGCGCCGACTGGACTGTACCTGGCGCATGCCATATTGTATCATGCCGCTGAAGATCTGATGCCTATTGTTTCTTGCTCTCCTTGCGCCCTTTTAAGTGATGGTTCATGTTCGTATGCGTAGATTGAAGTTGTCGACATCGCTTGGGTGGGCATGGTCTACGAGCGCGTTGTCGGAATGGCCGAGGGAGGTTGGCGTGGATCGGTGCCAAGCTAGGCTTTCTGAGGCGGGCAGCGTGCTCGCGGATTGGGGTCGGCCGGATTGACTCCTGTGACCATTGCGTCGCCATGGCGCCTCAGTCACACTCTGGCGGGTCAAGTGGCATCTAGAGCGAACGTTTGCGTGCAATAAACTGCGTTGATTCCGAAATTCGATGTTTTTTTTGGGGGGGAGCAGCGGGACGGAAGAACTATCTCTCCGAGGTCTCCGCGCCGCGTCTCGGTCCTTTCCACTTTCCCCATCCCAACCCCTTCCACAACCTCCAACTGCGCCGTTCTAGGGGGTTTATTCCCCTTCTATCATCCCCTCCCTTTCGTAGGCGCCCGATCAAGCCTAAGGACCTGCTCCCTTCTCTAGCACCTACTAATCCACTTTCTTCACATCTCATGCCGCGTCACCACTCTCTCGTCTCCATTTTGCTTAGAATAAGTTTAATGGCTGCTGAGAAGCTCCGATATTCCTAGGAAGAGGCCTGAGCTATATACAACCACGGAAGGATACCGTTCTCCAGTAACAGGTACCGTCTTTTGATTCAAAGGTATGGATGTAATGCCTTACAAGTTCGCAGCTGTGTCATATCTAACCATTATTTAGATATGAGTCCAGATTTCCACGACGACCTTCTCCAGCATTACTCGGAAGCCGAACTAGTACATCATATTAGAGCATCTCCTCGACACGCAACTACCCCTAGAGTATTCCTACTATCGGTGACCCTACTGGCTAAACACTATGAGCCTCCCTTGATTGAAGACATGGTCAAGGCTACGGAAGCTGCTCGTCGGCTGGGCATTCGCGCTCCCTGCATAAAGAGGACAATCATATACGAGGGAAGTGCATTTTGCGTAATGGAACGTATTCAAGGGGCCACCCTAGAAGAGATATGGACGAGGCTTAGCTGGTTTATGACTATAAAAATAGCCCTCCAGCTTCGCCATTTCGTTCATCTTCTAAGATCTGTGACCTCTTCAGTTGCAGGATCTCTAGCAACTGGCCAGTGCTTGTCATTCTGGTTAGAAGACCGCTATGGCCTTCCTGCTAGATCAAGGCCAGAAGATATTGCTTATTTCATCCAATTTTGGATGAATTTTACATCAATCCGAAAAGCGATGAAAGCTGCGAAACAAGTATCGGTAAATGCTAAGAGGCAAATATCTCCAGTGGCCCGGACCTTCGTACTCACCCATCACGACCTGGCACCTCGAAATCTTGTTCTTGATTCTTCTGGGCAGCTTTGGTTAATAGATTGGGATTATGCTGGTTTCTACCCGATCTACTTCGAGTACGCGTCCCTACAGAATTTTCACACGCCTAAAGACTGGAACCTATTCGCGCGGTTACGGTGAAGTCTATTCTCTTGGGTCGCGGTTGGACGTTATGAACAAGATGCGGCCGTACTAAGGCTGATAAGGTCAAGATTCACACGATTCGCTGTCGGGCGCCGTTTCGAACTCCTAGCAAAGGGAGGGCCATCTAGACGTCCTGTATCGTAGACAAGCTGAAACATCCGCTACATTTGGAGGACTGTAGTCTTGGAGTGTTTGCGGGAAGCGTCTCTCCATCCTAGCAGGGAATCCAGCTTAAAGTAGAATAGTAGGGCTATTAGATAATATGCAACGTCGTTAATACGCTTACAGCAAGGTTCGTCCGCTTATACTTTTGCCCCAAGTGCCGACTTTGACCAAATTCAGGCTTCTTTACCCCGCGCTCACATGCCTGTGTGCCGCGGTGTGCACAGCAACATAGATATTAAAGGCCAGCAGTCGCGAAACAATTACTTAAACAGCCTCGCACGCTCATTCGCTGCTCCGCAAAACCACGCTTGGCAACCACTATCAATCGACCGCGAGATCTTGGCTCACTCTCCAACCTAGCATCACTTTGATGCGAACTTGTTTAAGCTATCACAATCACCAATTTTAGTCTATGTTGACCTCTCACAAGGAGCACAGTCCGCTGCGATCACACTCCAGCGTTGCACACATGAGGTCATGGCTTCAGGACCTGTTACGCCATGGCTTGGACCCGAGACTCTGCTTCATTTGAAGCGGCTCGCACATTGGAGCCAAGCGATTTAATCAACGGAGAAACTGGCTGAACAGCCCGGTTTGAGATGGATGGGAAGCTCGGGTCCAACCTTCCCCAATTCCCACCCGTCATACAGATCGGGGTATAAGAGCAGAGATACGACCAACTTCGCGTCTGGTCCTTGATATCACTGGAAGTGGATCAACAGTCCACCATCCGTCATGGTCCTGCTTCACCACTTCGTCTTCGCCCTCGCGACGCTTTCTTCGAGCACTCTCGCCCAGACCTGCGCGACAATAAACCCCGCCTATGCCCCAACATGGGGCTCCGGATTCTCCGGTCGCGTTGTCATGAACGGGCTGAGGACACCTCGCGGCCTGATCTTCGATTCCTTGAACAACTTGCTAGTCGTTGAATCTGGGGGCGCCGGAGTGCGCTACATAAAGCTCACGGATAACGGCGGGACCGATGTGTGCGTTGCGAGTTCCAAGCAGCTTATCCCGGAGCGAGGGGTGAGCAAAGTTCCCTTCTAACTTGAGAGAGACGCACTCTCACTGATAGTTTTTGCGCACTAGCTTAACCACGGCATCGATCTTTCCGCAGATGGCAAGACCCTGTTCGTTTCTTCCATAACCACCGTTTTCAGCTACCCCTATGACGCTGCTGCCGGCACGGTGGGGACTAGGAAGACGCTCATCACGGGCATGAGCAACGGCGGCCACTCGACCCGCACCATCCTTACTTCGAAGAAGAATCCGGATATGCTGATCGTATCCGTCGGCTCTAATGCTAACATCGACGCCGCTACGTCGCAGCAAAGCTCTGGGCGCAGTCAGCTTCGCATCTTTAGCATTGAGAAGGTCAGCCAGGCGTCGGTCGCGTACACGGCTGGAGAGATCTTGGGCTGGGGTCTAAGGAACAGTGTTGGCGTAACCGAGAATCCGGTCACCGGCGGTATTGTAAGTTACTTGTTGATTTAGACAGCGTGCCTTTTATGCGGAAATCGTAGGAGCTGACCCTCTGCAGTGGTCCGTCGAAAACAGCGTCGACGACATGAGGAAAAACAACGTCGACATCCACAACACCAACCCCTGCGGTTCGTCATCCCCCTCCTTTTCCCTCTCCCCTAGCTCCCCCTCCAAACCCAGCACCAACAAAAACCCCAAACTGACCCCATCCTCCACAGAAGAGCTCAACTACCACGGCACCCTCAACGGCACCTCTCCCGAGCGCGGCGCCAACTTCGGCTATCCCGAATGCTTCGCCGCCTGGGACCCCTCCGTGATCCCCAACAACCAAAACATCAAAGTGGGCACGCAATTCGCCATCGGCACCGGCAGCGACGCGACGTGCACATCGCGTACGCCGCCGAAGCTGTGCTTCCCGAGCCATACGGCCCCGTTGGGCGTAAAGTTCAATGGGAATAGCACGGCCGCGTATATTTCTTTCCATGGCTCTTGGTATGTTGCGTTCCAGTCCTTCTTCCGCTTCAAGAACCTGAACGGCGATACTCTTCCCAAACCGCACCTCCCCCTAACAATCCCCCAGGAACCGCCAACCACCCGACGGCTACCGCCTCAGCAAGATCGCCTTCGACCCCGCAACCGGCATGCCGACTGAGCCGTCGACCTCGACCACCGCCGCCATCAACGTGATGAGCAATCCCAGCAACAGCGCCTGCCCTACACGCTGCTTCCGCCCCGTAGACTTGGCTTTTGACGCCAAGGGACGGCTGTTCATGACGAGCGATTCGTCGAATGAGGTTTGGGTTATTGGGGGGACGTAGGCGTGGAAGGAGGGAATTGTCATGTTTGGGTGAAGGGGATGTTGGTGAGGATGTTTGTGTGGTGTGGTGTTGCGTTGTGTTGTGTTGTGAGGGGGAAGCATCACGCATCAAAGCGAGGCGAGGATAGAGATGGCAAATGTTCATCTTGTTCTCATTTATCATCATGCCCATCGATCGTCATATACGGGCATTCATCACTCATATCTACATTCCATTATGAGATCCTCCACTCCATCCAGCATCCAACCATACAACCCAAGGGGTATATTACCAAACCACCACATCCAATACATTCCACCCCCGCCAGTTGTTGTCCCATTACCAGCATGTCGCAACCCACCCGGGCCTTCCTTCCTTCCTTCCTTCGCTCCATCCGAAAGTAAGATAATACATATAGCGTCCGTATGCTGATTCCGGGGAGTGGCTTGCGCCAGCCGTTGTAGTACAGTGTAGTTGTGTTATGTGTGCGCAAGATGCATGCAACTAACCGCCCATCCATCCATCCAGCCATCGCTATGCAGAATGAACCAAACGAGGGTGAAGATGGCCAAAAAAAAAAGAGGGTATAAAACCGCTTGAACGCAGCAAAAGAAACGCCTTCGTAGCCGCCAAAAGGGAAATATGTATGTATGTATATATGTGTAGAGCGGGGTAATTAGAAAGACCGTACGTTGAAACAGTAGAGGGCCCCCGCGGGGGGCCATATGGAGCGCAGCTCGTAGGAATCGAAGATTTCGTTCGTTGTTGTTGTATATTGGGGGGAGTTTACACGCTGACTGTTCGTCGAACGCCAACCTCGGGCTTCTGCGCGTAGCCGATTAGAAGTCTAAAACTCGTGCCGCGCTTCTCGCACTCAGTGATGAGGCTCTCGTCGCGCCAGATGCTGCTCTCGAGGAGGTTGCCCGAGCTCGCGGCGCCCGGTTCGCCGGCCTCGGGGAGGACCAGGGACTCGTAGCAGCGCGAGTACCACCAGCGGCCCACACGCGCCACCATCTCGGTGATGCGATCGTCCATTGAATCGGAGGAAGCCTGCGCGTTGAGAAGATCGGAGAAGGAAATTTCGGGCTTCGGCTGCTTCGGTTGCTTGGCCGACTGGAAGGGTGCGCCGGTAGCCTTGCCGATTGAGCTTACGGTGCTTCCCTTTCTCTTGCTCTCAGGAGTATTAATGTCATCCGGGCTCGGGAGACGGCCGGCAACAGGCACTCCTACGAAGCACCTGTTGCACTCGGTGAAGCCTTTCCTACCGAGGAGAGCCATGATTTCGTCGCTGATGTTGCGAAGCGAGACATTTTCATCAGCAACCTGCATCTTGACCTTCAGTCCGCGAACGGCACGCCTGGCGCGATTTCCCATGTTGACTAGATCCAGGTCGAGGACGCTCAGTTCGAGATAGCCTCCAGGCCGCAGCACACGCTTGCACTCTGAAAGGATAGAGCGGTGGACTGAGGAGGGTAGACCTGGAGGGAAGCGTAGAACGGCGCAGGCGAAAAAGCCCTTCGGGAACGGGAAAGCAGCGCCGAGAGACTGATGAGAGATGTGCCGATGATTCTTCAGGGTCGACCACGGTTCGGATGCATTGCCATTGGGCAGCGCCGAAGACGACGGTCCGGGTCCAAGGTTGTAGATGGTAGCTTCGGGGTAAGTGAGGGCGCAGTAGTACGACCAGTCCTTCCCAAGGCCGTCGATGACCAGAATACGATCTTCGCTTGGATCTTTGAGCTCAAAATGAGCAGGGCTAAATAGGACGCGACCAAAACTGAGCCACTTGCTCGTCATCAGCGCTCCGAAGCGTAGATTGGCCATGGACACCAGCCCATCCGCCTGAGTCTCCGCAATCTCCATCAGCCTGGTATCCCTATACTTGTTCGAGTTGGCACTGTCGCGTGCTTTGTCGGAGCTCGAAGCGATCGTAGCCTTAGATTGGCGTGCGCTGAGAGTCAGGGATGCCGGAAGGCTGGACCGAGTTGAGCCAGGGCGAGTTCGAGGCCCAGAGCCAGACGACATGCGGGTGGTAGACGGAAAGCTCAGGCGTCCAGTGATTGGGTCGACGACGTTGATATGCTTTTCTCCATACTCCTGCAGGAACTCAGACAGCGACACGGGAGATGTAGGAGACTGGGAATGGAGCACAGCGAGTAGACGGGAGCGGCGAAGGTGAAGCGATGGGTTAGAGGCCCCGGTAGCGGAGCCAGCGGACTGCGATGATGCGTGCGAAGATTTCGTTTTGAGAGGAAGCGGTTCAAGCGAAGGGTGTTTTCGCGCAGCCTTGCCCTTAGTCGAGCGAGCGAGCAATTCACCAGGCGAAAGCACTTCGTCAATCAAATCATCGTACTCATTCCACACTTCATCTTCGGACTGGGGAGCGCCGGGAGGGGGTATCACGGCGGTGCCGGCAGTAGGTGGAAAACTCCAGATGCCCGAACTACTGGAGTAGGAGAGTTCAGAGTCCTTGCGAGGTGGGAACTTGAAGAACTCGCTCTGGCGATTGGAGTCTTCTGCACCCGGGCTAATGGTAGCAATAGCCGAGCTATGGGATAGCGCATTGAGGCCGTGAAGAACAGGATACGGCTCGGCCGGGCCGGCAGTAGCCCTCAAAGAACCAATAGAGTCGACGGAGGTGCGAGAGGGCACGCTTGGACGGGGCTGATCGAGCACGAACGGACGAGAGAACGACTGAGAAGGAGGCCGATGCCCTTGGTTGCGTCTGGAGACGACCAGAGGGATACGGCCTACTTGCGCTAGCCGGCTGGGCCTAGGAGGTGGATTTGAGGGTGGAGGACCGGGAGGAGCAAGAGTTTGTGGTGGCGGAACGGAAGGAGGAGCGGGAGTTCTCGTAGGGGCGACTAGAGGCTCTATGGGAGAGAGTGGCTGGATTGGCGACGAAGAAGGGGACAGATCGGTAACGGGGGTCAGCTCGGGCTGCGACGCGCGCGCTGGGGGCGCTTGGGGGCCAGTTGACAAAGCGGCGGCGGCGACATTTGTGTCCACAGTGAGTTTGGGATGCTGTTGTTGTTCAGGCCGCAGGACGACTGTCGGCGATGCGGAGCGAGCTGGTGGCGCGCGATTGAGAGGCAGGACAGGCTTCGGTGGCAGCAGCATCGACTGCAGACGCTCCTTCTTTTCCGGCTCATTCTCAGAAGGCGCGCTGTCTACGCCCTCCTCAGGCGGCGATGAGTCTTCGGGGGTGCTGTTCGCCTCTCGCATGATCTTCTCAATGTCCTCTAGATCGATGCCAGACTGCGAGCCCAGGAGTGCGTAATGAGCAACGGATCGCGAAGGAGGTACCCTAGCAGGAGCAGTTGACACGGTGACGGCAGGAGACGCCACCCGCGGGGCTGCATGAGCGCGCTGGAAGAAGTTCCACCTTTTGGACGGCTTCGACTGATCTTTCTCGGGCTTCTCCTTTTTCGAGGACTTGAGCCAGCTTCCCTCTTTTCCGTCCGAAACAAATCCACTGACGGAGCCTTTCCGTCCCTTCGCTGCAGCGCTTCCGCTGGCTGTTTGCTTGGAAGACGAGGCTGCTTCCATAAGCTTTGATGTCCGCGAAGTCCGCCGAGTTGCGAGGGATGGAATGAAGGACCTCTTCGTGTCATCATCGCTCTCTGACGGCCTTCGCAAGCCAAGCGGCAGCTTTTTCACTGGCGACATTCCGCGAACGGGGTCGGACATGGCAGACGGCAATAGAGTTGGCCGGTTGCCGTCAATGCCGGAGCGCGACGGGTTACTGGTAGTCTTCTTTAGCTCTAATCCTAGCGGTCCTGCGACATCGAGACTGCTTGTGCTTTGCATCGGCTCGGGACTCCTGGATAGTTCGGTGCTGCTTCCGGTACCTCGAATGACCACGGGTGCTAGTCTGTCGAGGAAAAAGTCATCCATTTCGGCGCTGCTCGTACTAGTTACGCTGCTTTTCCGAGTCGATGGGGTGCCGTCCAAACTCTCCGTTGTTGTGGCTGCGCTTGCAGATCTCCCAATACTTGTGGCGCTGACCGAGCTCACGCTCCGGCCTCGGACGGCATACCTTCCATACCCTTCGTGCCCCGTCCCTGCTGCGGGTCCTCTGCGATTGGGCTTTTTCTCAGGCTTCGGAGCCGGTGGTGTCGGCTCTGTCTTCGTACGTCGAGTGAAGAAGCCAAACCGAGACGTCTTGCTTGGGCTGGGAGCAGGAGCGGGAGTCGGGAGGGTTTTGGCTCGCTGCTTCTCGGCATCGCCTTGGATATCCGGTGTTGGACCGCGGGTGGGAACTCGCGAAACTGGAGCAAATCCTGACGTAAGGCTGGGATTAGGTGACGGTTGGCGGGAAGACGGCTTAATTGGTATGCCAAATCTAGACTTTGCACTAGGCGGGATACCTTTGCTGGACTCTGTGGATGTCGTCCTTTTATGGGATACGGGGAAGCTAGTCATGTTGCTTTGAATAATAGGGGACGGGCCTCGAAGCCCGCTTATTTCAGAAGTTCCCTCTCTGCTTGGCCGCGGCGGCCTTCGTGGTTCGACGGATGACGTTGTGGGTTGATCGGCAAGATGGGCTAACTCAGGAGGGGCTTGTATTCGGGGTCTTTGTTCTGCGACTTGTGGACGACTGTGGAGCTCGGCCGCTCTCGCACTGAAGGTGCCATTTCGGATGCGGGGTGGTGGAGAACGTGCTGAACTCGCATGCGTCGGTGGGCTTGGTGGCGGAGCTGGTAGACGGTCTTGTGATTTCCTTTCCTTCTGTCTCCCTCCTTCTGCAAGTATTGTAGAAGCAGATGAAGAGGAAGTAGAAGACTCTCGGACGGAAGAAAGTCCATGCGGCTGTCGCTCTTCCGGCGTTCTGTGCCTCGCAATCGGTGGCCTGCTCTGTAGTGGACTTGCTTGTCGCACCCGTCCCGTTGTCTTGCTTGATAGGGCGACTCCTGGCGAGTATGAAGACATGGATGTTGGGGTTGAGGAGACGCTGAATGGTCCCGGAGACTCCGAATATCGAGTGGATGGCGTGGTCGAGAGAGCATACTGTGGGGCGGGGGGTGGTAGTATTTCCGTAGGGCCCAACTCGTAGCTATAAGGGTCATACTCTGGCATCTCGATTTCTGCGTCTGAGCGAGCAAGTATCGTAGAGGATGGCGGTAGTGATATTCCCAAAACGGTTTCTGAAAAGGGATCCTTGTAGCCACCCGGGATACCCTTGACCATGTGCGCCTCTTCCTGGGAAGACATCGATCCTTCCCTTGTCTTCGAATCCTGCGAATCCTGCCTCGTTCTTATGACTCCAACGCTCGACTGTTTCTTCCTCAGCACATTCGATCGTGGGCTGTCGACGGTCGAAGCAGAGGATCCTGATACAAGGGACGGCGTACGGGTGGTTCCGGGGACTTCGAGTTTGGGTAATCGGGACGATGAAGTCTGCGATGCTGGCTTCGAAGCCGTGGAGTTTGAGGACGAACGGGGCAGAGGTACTGGGGGAGTAGGTGTGCTCCCTTGGCGTGATCGAACCGCTACCGACGGCTTTGGTACGGGGGCTCGTTGACCGATGAGCCCTCTGCTAGGATGAATCTGCTCATCTCTGGCTGGCTTCCTCTTCTGCAACTTGGAGTAACCGGAGGTAGGCAATTGAGTGTTGGCTGTGGGCGTGACGGATCTCTGGGGGAGTCGAGTTGAAGGAGTACGTTGGGGGTACGGCGTCTGCTCCTCCATCCTCTTTGGAGGATTCGAGTGTGACTTATAGGAAGCCATCTCGCGTAGCTCGGTGCGACCCGGCTAGATACAATGCGCAACGGCTGACAGGGTCCTGTACGACGGGGGCTTGTTCGCGCCGGGTAACTCATGAAGGCATAGGCATGGGTTGTCGCGTGAAACTCGGGACGTCAGCGCCAAAGGACACCAGGTCAAGGAATGCTGGTTGAATCGTACTGTCGGTGTCGTCAGCAGGACTCAGCTCGCGCGGGTTCCATGCGATGGTGTGGTGTAGTGTGTGGATGTCCAAGATATCGCGAGCCTGGGGGTGGCGAAAATGATTATAGCTCAGGTACATGGAATGGGGGTTCCGCCATATAAGACGTCCGGCAAAATGACACGCAATTCTCAAGTCGGCCTGCAGAAACTCGGTGAGGTCGAGTATTTTCGTCCTTTCGCGTGTTGCGTGCGCCACCCACGGCGGGACCGAGAGCTTTCGTGGCGTCGGTTATGCCCGTGTGTGTGGCTCAGCACTTTCCAAGGTTCTCCGCTGCACCCGACAAGGATGCTGACGGAGTCGACGAGGCGGACAAGCAGAGACTGGGACGGCGGTGGATGATATACTCGTCGGAGCCCACGCGTCCCTGCGCTCGTACCGTAAGGGTCCTCGGTGCGAAGCGTGGGGAAGAGCAGTCAGTCGCCGCAGTGGGGAATCGTCCGCGGCTTTCCGTTCCTAGCGACGGGCACTCCAGACGGCCTTCCAGGGGGGTCCTGGCTCGAGGAGAAGAGGCAACAGGCTGGGCTCTTCAGATTGTTGGTGGAGCGCGGGCCCGCTTGCTGACTCTTGCGTGAGATGAGCGGGGTTGGGATGAAAGGTCTGATATGTATAACATGGCGACGACCCAACGCGATTCCAACGCCCACACGCGAAGCCTTCTGACCTTGCCGGCGCCGTTCCTCCTGCCAGGAGGAGCTGGGCTGACCCGGCCAAAGCATTGCCGTAGAGCAACGGCGCTTGCGCCTGGAGGGGCGGGTCGAAGCTCGAGGCAGAGCGAGAGAGGGCGACGACCAGTAGGGCGCTTAGGATGCGATGGTGGGAGCCCATTCGCAAACAATCCATGTACGAGGGAGCTCCCGCCAGTGGTGGAGGCGCTCAGGCGGGATGGCCAAGGGCATGACTAGGCGAGGGCGGCGTGCTCGTGGTTGGCCCGTGGCTCTCGCTAGCCGTTGTTTTGCCCACAAAGTCATGCCGTTTTCTGGCGATCAGAGACATCAACTCACCATCAGGCCTGAAGTCGACGCCTGAGTGTCTTCAGTGTAGTTGCTGCGATGGCTCCTCGCTGCAGAGCTGAGGTAAGGACATTTGGCGAGCCAGCGCTATTCAAGCAGTGCGAAACCCGCAGAGAGAGGCCCCTCGAAAGCCACCTGTTCAGATATTTCAGCTACAGTGGCCCGCGATCTGGTCACTCTCTCCAGAGACGGACGAGGGCGCCTGAGCAGGCCGAGCCTCGAGGACTATTATAGGCCATATGCACCCCTCTTAAAATGGAAAACGCAAGAGCAGTGCCGGCGGCCTTTGCAGTCTGAGACTGCGCAAGATATACGGCAAGGTCACCAAGGTGAACAGTCAATCAGGCTGCGCGGTGTGAAATTTGGCGAATGATTCCCGTGCAGAAGAGTCATCTGGTGGTATTCAGGTTTCGATGCGCGTTTTCCGCACTGCGCGCCCAATGCTTCGATGGACTGACTGATCCCGTGCCTTCGACTCTCGTGACCAGCGCAATAAAGCGCAATAACGCCGACGAAGCGCGGAGGATTCGCTGAGAGTGCTCCATTTTGGTCGTTGGTCGCGACGATGCATAACGTCGAGCCGGAGAGCCCGTCGCTAGCCAGCTGAGGTGTGGCTCGGTGCATCGACTAACTAGGTTAGCGGCTTAGTTGCAGGAGAATGAGGCTGAGTCGGATCGGCCTTCGCCACACTGACAACGCATCATTTATTGGCGACTGAAGCACTCTGAAGTGAGTGCTCTTGATGATCGAAGCTGGATAAACAGCAGCAGCTCCAGGATGCCGTTAACAATGAGGCGAGGACAGCCCGTGTTTCCTGCTCAACAGTTTCAGCCCGCCGCGAGCCGGTCTTCGGGGGGAAGGGAGGGCATCTTCCACGTCCATTCCAGCACCCAGGTCGCACTCAAGCCACCAGTGTGCGCTTGACCCGTCCTTTGCACCATCATAGGACGGAGTTGGTGTGCTATCGTCGACCCCGGCCACATGAGTTGAAAATCATGTGACCGGGTTATACCCGAAACGGCATGCTGGAATATATCCAACCACCAATGAGTGCGCAAGACGGCACCTTCAGGTGATCATTCGCTGAAGGTTGCATGCAGGGGGTGCGCTTAGTTTCCACTCCATGGATGTCGGCCCTCGCCCACAACAAGCTTTTTCTCTCCTGTGAGACATTTTTGCGTTGCATCAGGCAAAACGGCTGTCCATCCGTGTGGAGGTTAACGCGCGGTTGAGCTTTGCCGTATGCCGATACGACAGTGATACTCCTGCATGGGGCAAATCATACTTGCATCCTAGTAGCAGGCGTATGAGCAGATTCAACTCCCGAAACCTTATGGTGGGCTCGTGCTCGTCGCCGCTTTTGTGGGGCTGGAGCGGAGTTGCACCTTACGGACCCTTCTCCAGGATATGTGGCTTTAGCAACAAGATGAGGTTCGTGTCTCAAGATACGCACGGTGATATACATTCTCTCGGAGGCGTTCTGGCCCCAATCTGCCAATTGGTGACAAAACGAGCGAAGTCAGCTTCAGCCTATTCCAAACATTGAGAGCTTCCCCTGACACAAACCGCAAAGTTGAGATCCCAGAGACCTTGTTGGGACGATCCGAGCTAAACACAAGACAGGCATATCCTGGCGCATTATAGCCGTTCGCGGGTGTGGGACGGAGGAGCGGCGCGAGACCACGGGATTGTCCCCGTCGCAAGTACGAATCAACTGCCATAGAACACAGTCAGGAGCGGGAGAGCCCACTGGACTGGGGGAGCCCAAGCCCAACCCAAAGCAGTTTGCCTGCGGGGAAGCAAAACGATTCGACAGAAGGTAGATTCTTCCAAACGGCTTCTGTGACGACTTTGAACTTGATGGTGTATGGGATTTGCAGGAGGGATTCGAAACAAGTCCAGATCGATGCCATACCTGCAGGCGTCGAATACCCATGCTGAACGAAGTCGCTGAGAACCGTACTCTGGTGGAGATGTTAACTGTTTTGGGACTGTTGTGCAGGAGCCGTCATGTTACGAGCGCTTAGCCGCAAATTGTTGGCGTTGTGTCATGATAGTAGTTTCGAAGAGTGTTGCTTAGACATATCCATTTGTAAGAGGCGATGCTCAGCACGTCTGAAACCTCTCCAATAGGAAATTGGCCGTCGTTGTGAGCATCTCTTGCCGTATCAACATCGCTGCGATGAGAAGTTTGATGGTCGCCGCACTGAGCGGAACGAGGCGTAACTTCCAGACATTGCCCGCCCATTTTGTCCTGCAAAAGGAAGCACCAGAAGTGCCTTCTCTAACTCTCCCGCCCATACGAGAGCCGCTGAGGTGCATAAAAAGAGCACGTGACATGCATCCACTTCTCCCAGTGCGCGATCACTAGACAGCGCCATCTTGAACAATCCAAAAGATAGCACAAAGAAAGACACCCCCGCGTACTTAAATAGCTAGCCTAGTGCTTATGTGAATAAAAAAAGCAAAGATTGTAGCTGCGATTTCGTCAAATCTAAGCTCTTCTACCGAAGTTGCCAAAGGTTGCATAGCATCGATACCTTATCTTGCCTGGGCCCTTTTCAAACTCCTTGAACATCGAGATCGTTGGAATAGGGGATGCTAAGGTGTGTGAGGACCCGGTTTCTTACAGGTAAATTCTACTAATTGACCAAATGCCCGAAGGCGAAGGGAACGCTCAATTGTCTTGTATATATAGAGTAAGTAAAAGGCGTGTGCGAGCTGTTGCCGAAGGCGATGACGAGGTCGTTGAGGGTCTACAGCTTCACTCACAATAGGGGCTGCAGACAAACACTGAAAGTCCTGGGAGGCACGTGATGGCCCTCCTCTGTTGTAGGCGGTGACTTGATGTGGCTCGCTAAGCAGCTCTTTCACGGGACTCGAGGGAATGACCGGAAGTCGTCCGCAGCAACACACCCTCCCTTCAAGGTTGCAGGCACAAATCAGGGACTCCTTCGCTCTATCATGTTGCCGGCCGTATCAAATCTTACCTATTTAGGTCCCCGACACTAAGTCGACTTGCATCCCTCGACCCCTAGCGACCGTCTAGCTCCGGAACGATGCGACGATGATGATGGAAGGGCTCTCCAAGGCCTTGACGACGGGGCGTCGGAACGAGGAGGCAGAACATGCATGTGGCAGACGTGGTTCGGGGCGTGGAAGCGGCAATTATGAGGCTGTCCGGAGCGTTGGATGACGCCAGTGGGCGACCCCTCAGGTCGCTTCGGCGTCAATCAAGACTTACGGCCGCATGCGCCGGGGTATCTTGAATGGGGATGCAGCCCGGATAATTACATGCGCTCTGAGGACTTCCAGGCTCGCCGAAGTAGATAGTAGACCGGGGGACGACCGAGTGGGAGGTAGGCGTGGGTCAGGCAGCGGCAGCGGGTTTTACATGGCGAGGCGGCTGTCTAAGCTCGAACGGTACCATTGCATGATGTCCAAGGCTCTGGAAGGAGCCTGAGGCTGCACAAACTTGATAGGTAGATTGACATGAAGACTCGATCGACCAAGGGTTGCGATGGAAGAGTATAGCCAAAGCGGCACGCCGCGGCCCAAGTAGCCCAAAAAGCACATTGTGTTTGAAGCAGTTTGCCGTCACTTGTGTTATCAAAGCAGAGGGCAATCTGGCTTGGAGGGCTTATGCAGAGGCGCGTTTCTAGGGTCTGAGGCTCGGGAGCTTCAAGCATGCACATCAGCTGAGCGTCCATGACGCAGGGCCGTCATGATGAATCGACTGTAGCATACGCGGTGCGGAGGCAAGTTACAGCAGCTCATATGCGTGCATTCTTATCTCGGCTGCACATTGTGATGTCCGTCCGATTGAGGCTTTTCAGAATTCTCATCCGCATCCCCTCCCTTCCTTAGAAGCGCCGCGAAGCTCGCCGTTGCGTTGCTGGAGAGGCATTCATGAGGGAGCTGGAGCGCACGGTCCTGGTTGATGTGCAATCTTGGAGTGAAGCCCTGAGTTCTTTCATTCTTGCTCGTTGCTCGTTTCTCGCGCCAACACCCCTCGAATGTCGACCCGCCTGAACCCTCGTACGGCAGTAGGGGAGACTCAGCAATCTCTGTTATGTGGCTCCGCGAGCGTCGAGTCCGGCCGCCTTCGGTTTGCGTGCCTTGGCCTGTCGATGCTCCCCCCTCTTTTCCGCTTCGCCGCGTCTTTGCTCTCCTCTCCCTATCACCACAACGCCACAACCATCGCTGGAGCTCATCTGGCATGCACTTTATCTTCGAGCATCTCCTACTCTTCTGCTCGTAGCGCACAGTCTAGGTAGCGGCGTCTCTTACGACGAGTCGCAGCCTCCCACGCTCTCGCGGACATCACGCCTGCTCGCGGATCCACCAACTCGCAGCACACCAACACCGCCAACACGTCAAGGAGCCTTCGTGAGAAAGCCTCGCAGCGCGTCCTACGAGGGGCTCGAGAGAATGCTGCGCATCCTCAACGGCATCGGCGGCCCACAGCAGACGTTGACACCCGTCCGCCGGGCCTGCGGGGGTGACCGGCCGCCCAAAACAATCTCACCCCCAACTCCCTAGCAGACGATGGGCTTTTGCAATGCTCCTGACCCAAAGGTGAGATTCCCCTTCGCCATTACACCTGACCTGCAGGACTTAATCATAGCTGAAGCGACAGCGGCGGCAACTATCGGGTACCGAGAGGATGCGGCGACGACGCGAGTCCCAAGGCATCGACTACAGATTTCGAGTCCTGTACACAACGCGCCCTCGGCATCGCAAGCCGCGTACTCGAGCCTTCCACCTCCATATCGAACGCGGAAATACCATGATATGGTATCGGTCGTCCAAATCGCGTGCTTGATGGCGTACGTGGCCACATCCCTCTTTTGTCGTCATCGCTCCTCTTGACTCCGGTCGGTATTCCTGAGTACCGGAAAAGCCGCAGATGGTTAAGCCTTGGAGAAACAGAGGTACGCATTGAGATACAGGCCAACAACGATGTTGCCCTAGGGCGGACTCGCGAAATGACCGACGCCAAAGTCGTCGCGGCGGACCCCCTCGACAGACCGGATACCTGGACTTGGAATCAATCCTGCCCCGAAGCGGTCGGCAGGCTAGCAACGGGCTACGGTACGAACTCCAAAATGCCGGAGATGGGAGAACGACAGCGTCTGCGGCCTGTAAAGAAAAGGAAAAGATTGAGGATGGGGCTCATCAAGATGAAGGACCGACGATCAAATCGATTTAGCAAGGCTGTCTTGTTGAGGATCCACGGTGCTGAGACTGGATAATGACGGAAAAATTTCCGGAATGAAGGATCTCGTGGTCAGCTCTACGTCCTCCTAGACCTGATTGTAACGGACTGGCAAGCTCGGGTTGCAGTGCATGTGCCGGCACACACACAGAACAACAGACTCATTCCCGACGTCGAGACATATCGCAGGGTGATGCAAGCGTCCTGGATCCTGGAGACCATAGCATGGATAGATGCCATCTACGCTGTACGGCATGAGGAGCCGCAAGGATGAGTCCATTCGTTACTTCTGGGGACACATTCAAGTCGAGAGGATCGTAAGCAAGCTGCACGCCCAGATCCGGGCCATCATCGAGGCGCTGCCGCCGCAGTCCATCATCGGGTGGTGGGCCCGCGGCGTCACGGTCGGGGCTCCACCGCCGAATGCTGTCGAGGCTGAGCTCAAGGTGACGAAACCGTGGCACTAGAAACCGAACGAACACTTCAGCCTGCGTCTAGGCTGGGTGGACACGAACGGTGACTGGGTCAGGACCTACGCTACCGCCCATCTCCACCGGAATGGATTGGAGATGGTGTTTGAGCGGTCGACCGGTTGCGAAGTAGTTAAGCAACCTGGCGGGGCGTGGTATGCCATACACTAGCCGGTGAGTATTGGCATCCGATGCAGCGAGCGCACAGGACGTTCCTTCGCGCAATTACGATATCCAACCGCACGTCGCAAATGTGGAATGGCGTCCAGTGAGCCAACACTGAATCACTAAGAAGTGATCCGCAAAGTGATCGGTTCCGGATCGCTCGACGACGCACCCAGGGCTAAGGTGAAGTCTTGTCGCTCTTCAGACGATCGTCCAACGTCCGTTGCTTGTGTTCGGCTGCAGAACAGATAGATGCAAACCACGGCTATGCAAGGGCATCTCACTTTAAGGACCATGAGGTCTCCACGAGGGATAGCAGAGACCAACGACTCGGTGCGCTTCGAGCATTCGACCAGATGTGACAAACGTTTCCGACTATGCACAATATCGTCCATCATTCCAGGATCGGATCAGAAGGATGCCCAGGACGAATGGATTCCAAGACGACAAATGCCTGATACTGGAGCAGACTCGAAGGACGCTCCATAGCTTTCAGAACGGTGTCGAAAGGGAAGGCGTTTCGCAACTGAAGGCCGAGGCAAATAGGCGTGAGCTGAAGTAGCTGGTGGCAAGACGATGAGCAGTTAAGAGAAGGAAGAACCGGGATATGCTTGTATCGCGCCATTTGTCCGCTCCCATGGCTCGAGGGCGTATGTGATCCTTGGGAGATTGTGCTGGACCAAGGACTGTCCTCGTTCACTGGGAATATGTGGCCAGCTTTTCGATTCGATGGCCCCCGAATGACCTGGAATGCTTTCGGTCAAAGCTTTTGCATGCCAAAACACCCGGCTTGCATTGACTCCACGCAAGTCATGCTTTTTCTCCACCTGTGATGGCGTGTACCGTCAAAGAGCCAAGCCCAAGCTCTCAAAAACCCACGGACCAGCTGAACAAGTCTCTTCGAAGAAGCCAGATGGAGAACGAAGACGTATGCTACATCTGAATCATGCACCATTATGTCCAGGCTGGCGAAGTCTGTACTTTTTTCGATCCGCCTTCCGGTCGGCTGTTATCCGGACACTTTCTCACGCAGTATTGAGCTCCGGTCAGTCTTGCACATGGCCCCTTGCGTCCAAGATATTTAGACGTAAGCTTCTTTGCAGTCAGCTGCGGCGAGTCACCCGTAGCAATACGCTTCGTCAACCAATCTGAAAGGCCCTCGGAGGCTCTCCTGAGGTTAAGGACGCCCACCTATGTCCAACGAGGTGATAAGGCGTGCCTCTGTTTGCTCGCTCTTGGACTCTGCGCGTCTAGCGGCCATCTCCGGCTCTATCCCTGCGTTGCACGCTCTTTTGCTGCGTATATCCCCTCGGGAGTCCCGATTATCTCCATGTCTGGATTTGCGGCACTCGTTGGAGGCATGAATAGTCAGATCGAAGGTGCCACAAACATGCTGTCAAAGCCGACCAGGTCGTCCGCCGGTGGAAGCCCGCGAAAGCCCGGTGTCGTACCTCTCGGTCGACACTTTCCACAGCTCTTTCCGCGTGCTATTCCTCCTTATGCATCGGTGCTGTCTACCCAAGCTTCAGCGACGTCCCCTATCGCCGTATTCGCTCAAAGCGAGGAAGGGTATGCCGGTCTTGGTGCAGTCGATCGCAGCATGGCCGGGTCAAGCGTTGGCGGGCACCCAGGAGTCGCATATGGCGGCATCCCCGTCTCGCATATGTTGCTCCCAAAGCTTGTCGTCCGACGCTCGAATCGTTTTCGGGCGGGGCGCAGCGCGAAACGGACGTTGCGCGTCGACCTGGGTGAGGACGGGGCATTCTCTGATGCGCCCTTCCGGAGCAACGTGACGTACTGTACGACCCGATGTGCCTGTCATTGCTCATCGGCGAGCGGAGGTTCCAGCGCATGCGTGTCGCCGCAGAAGACGTAGTGCAAAGGAGCTTGAGCATCGCGACGGCGCTGGTCACCGGAGAGCATCGAAGCTGCAAAACAAGTACCCGGTACTCCCCCTTGGAGAAACGCTTAGGGACGTTGTGGTATAATCGCGTCGCCGGTACCGGATCGTGTTGTGGAAATGCGTCGGGCCTCAGGCAGACGTTCTACGAAGGTGCCTTCAAGACCACCGCAAACAGGCCCGCCCACAGCGCCGTGAAGCAGTCAGACGGCCCAATTGTAAGGAGATCGCATTGATATCGTGCTCGCATCGTATGCGTTGCGGTCGTCGGTATATGTTTGGCGTCGGTGGTCGACGCAGCCCATGTCGATGCGGTAGAGGAGGATGCTCGCGCCTGCACACGACAGCCTCAAGTCAGCAGCCCTGGGTACTTTATGCATCTCATGTCATCGCAAATGCCTTGCGAGCCCCATGAAGCTCCGTGATGGCGGGTGTTGTGTTGGCGTGTGGAAGGGGAAGCGTTGAGCTCGCCGCAAAGCCCCGCCGTCAGCGCAGACGGCGGCAGAACGGGAAGACATTGAAATGAGCGACGGCACAGCCTTTCCGGAAAGATACGAATAAGCTTGAAGCCCTTCAGAATGGGGCGCGAGACGATACGTTCGTTGCGCGAGCGAGTTGTTAGAAAGGCGCGATGTGGGAGGAGGCGGCGAGGGAGAGAAGGGATTAACTCCCCGCGACGCTAACGAAGCCTCAAGGAGGGAAGGAAGAATGTCCAGCATACGGCCATTAGAGAGGCGATGCAGTTGCCATTGAATATGCTGTTTCCGGCTCGAGAACGGCCATGGAAGTTGATTCTCCTGCTCTGCGATGAGCCAGGAGAAACATGATTAGAATGCTCTGCTGCTCATGCGCCTGAGACGCAACGCTGCATCACAGTGCAGCGGCTGCAACACCAAATCTCGGCATAGGGAAGCACAATTCGCCATGCCGTCGGATCTTGGAGATGGAAGTGGAGTCGGTTCCACAAATCGCAGCTGCCCACATGGCTGCAGAGCCGGGCACAGGCTAATCACAAAGCGGGGATGGTCGAAACTCAACTCAGACCTCACGGCACCCGCACACGCATCCATCCACGCACCCCATCGACAATCACCGCATCTTGATCATCACTTATCGGCAAGGGCACACATGATATGTGGTTGTTTGGTCAAATTGCGCCGCCAGGGAAACTGCCTGGCCCCAATGGCCTCCCCAGCGGCTACCGTAGATCCCAGCGGCCCGGCTCAGCTGCTCGCCCCCCAGGCCAAGGATAAGATATACTTACCTTGGCCCGACGGACGAGGAGCGTCCTCGCCGAACCGCCTGAATGCTACTCATGCCTCCTCCGAAGACCAGGCCTGACTAGATACAAGGAACGCACAAGGAGACAACCCCGAAGTTGGCCGACGAGCCTACCGATCCCACCGAGAAGGAACAACATAACCGAAGAACATTGCCAGCACCATGATCCATTCGCGACCTTATCCTCCAGCAGTATGATCCTCCAGTGGTATGATATCCCCTAGCGATATCATATCCTCCATCGATATGATCTTCTAGCGATGGGGTGCGATTGAGTCAAGACCGATGCGATCGGGGTCGCTAGGTTGTTTCAAGAGGTAGAGTGGGACAGCGTATCAAGAGGCGGCGCGGCGAGGGATCTAGGTCGGAATGAAGAGCTGAGACTAGAACGATGCTGCCCGGTTTCGATCAAGCGGAGGTCGGCTCGATTGAGGCGGGGACGTATCCGTCGAAGGAGGTGAGCCGACCTCACCGGGCCTCCGTTGTCGAGTTTCATGAGCGCACTGCCACGACTGTTAGCTACGTGCGACGACGGACCCCTGCCGCCGAACTTACCTGAAAGCTCCTGTCCGGCGAGTTCCTCCCCTTCATGACCTGTGTTCGAAGCCCGTATCAAACATACGGTCAGCCTCCACCATCTTTACGCCGTTAAACTTTGTGGATGACCGTTGCCTTCAACTGGACCCTGGTCCATCGGGTTAAAGGAAACTAGGCGTCGCGACGAACCACCCACCGGACTCCAAGCCATGGTGTCCGCCATGGAGAGACACCGAGTCTCCCATTATTCTTCTTCTCCCTCTTCTGTCTCCAACATCTCTGACTTGAGCTTCTACCTGCCTCGCGACACCAGCAGCGCCCAGCGCATCCTAGCTTGCCTGCGTCACCGCTCGCGTTTGCATGTGACAGCACCAGATCTCGCGGTATGAGCGACAGTATCGAATAATTCAATCGCGCTGATACCGGGCTGGATGTGCGGATTGTATGTCCCCATAGAGTTGTGAGTGATGTAGTAGTGGGATGCAATCCTCCCGAGCTCCGTTGGTTGGAGAGCCCCCGACTTCCTGTCGTACTTCGCCAGATTGCATTTCTCCAGGACATACGCGGCACCATGTATCAAACCCACCCGCCTCTGCTCCAGGACTGTGTCGTTCTCGTATTCGGGACTAACGCGATACAAGCCTGGCGAGCGCAGCATCCTAACGAAGAGGTAGGTGTATCCAAGCCAGTCAACCCCCTCACTGATGAATTGCGATTCGATCGGTAGCTGCTGGTTCAGAAGCGAGAGCCGTACGTTTGCTGAATCAGGGCATGGTGGGCGGGTATGTACCAGCCCGCAGGAGGGTGCAGGCCGGCGAGCCTTCGACTGCCTCCGTATGGAGTACTCGGGCAGCGGGCGTACTCGCCGGTTCGCTGGCGAGTGTCCCGCATGTCGTCGCGTCGGTCGTCTCGAGCGTACCGGTCGTGTTTCTCGTCGCTCCGATGCCATTATAGGCGGGTGTTGTGGAAAGAGAAGGAGATAAGAACGCCAGGAGAAAATCTTTTGTACCCGCCGCCAAGCCACGTCGCTACGACGACGCCTTCACTAGCTGCTCGAGGCCCCTGGACGCCAGTAGGAGCTCACGGAACGTCACGTGGGTCCGACGCAGACAGCCAGCAGGCACCGCGGAAAGCCGACGCAGCGACTGCATTCTCCCTGAGCCTCTCAAATCTGTAATGCGAGGCCATTGGACATGAAGACTGCCATCCAAAACGGCGTTAGAGCTTGTTGCAGACTGTTGCAGCGTTGCTGCACTCCGAATTGGTGATGGCATGCTGAAGTGGAGTAAACGCTGAGGCAACCCACGAAACGCCGCCTAGCCCCTGCCCTACGTCGTGGCACATATGGCAGCTAGCAGCTGCCTGACCTTTGGCTATGCAAAACACTCCTGAAGGCCTCCAACATATAAAAGCCATCGACATGCTGAAACGTTGAGACACTTGGCCATGTGTCCTGCCGCGTTCGGTGCCCACCTGCTTCCATAAAAACAAGTCCCAACACCAACCGAGGACGCTGTGATGAGTCTTTTGGCCACGGCATCAAGATGTGCCCTTTCCAATTGGGACTTTAGAGCCGATAGGGGTTGCAGAGGGAAGGTGTGCAGCGCAGCAGAAGCAAAGGAGAATGTTGTGCCATTTCGTAATTGCCTCGCACAACACGAGTACCTTGAGCCTAGCTATCCGAAGGGCATGCTCGGTGCTCTCTCAGCGCGCTCCCCAAGTGTCCAACAGGTCTCAGTGCATGAGTGCGCGGATGCGTTACGCAGGTCTACCATCCGCGGCAACAAAGACGAGGCAGACAATCACGAACCGGAGCATCACTAGGTCGGTTCATGCAAGCCTGAGGATGTGTTGTGTTGCTGGATGGCCGCGATATGCCTACGTCGTCCATGATCCGCGTGGGAGAGCAGGAGTAGCAGGGGCGGCCGCCAGCATCCACGTTGTGACACTCGAATGCCTTGAACGCTGCACGAGGAACCAAGCACCCTATGTCCGTCTGTCTGAGTGATACTATCGCCTTATCGCCAAAATCTACGCGTGAGACCCACCGAGGCGGGCAGCAGGAGTGAGAGCACTTCTCTCCCGTCCCCCACCTTGTCCCGCTATGTCGCCACAGCTCTCACCTCGCTAGGCCGAGCCTCCACACACCACCCAAATTCCTTTTATTTGGTCTATATATATCGAACAATTGACAACTCCCAATGCGAGTAGGTGGGAGACCACCGAAAGCGTTTGGAACAGTCGCTAACTAGTTTACAGGTTTGACTGACAGAGACGTAGGTCTTTCGGGGCCGAACTCTTTTTGCTTCTAAGTTCGATTCCGACCTTAGCCTACTTTTTTTTTGCGAAATCCCAGCTATCTTTTTACGACTGCTCCTACTACTTTCTTGGGCGCCCAAGTGCATGAACGTACGGAACCGCCCGAGCAAAGTGGAGCGCTATTCCTCTGATTTGGGCCGGGTATTTATACGGCGTCAGCAGCGAGGCTGTGCCTCTTGATAAGAGCAGCTCTCTCTTTTGATCGGCATGTTTGTAGGAAGACAATAGTGCAGGTAATGCTTTTGCTCCTTTTGCGAAAGAAGATGTCAACAGCAGACACACATACTGAATATGAGAGGCAGGTAAGTACGCATTTCGGTCTTTCTCTATGTAGGTGGGTGCCCCTGCTCTCATTCCATCAGATTTGTATACTTCGGGAGACGCGGCGCCGACGCTGGCCACAGTCTAAGAGCCCTCGAAGCGTATGTAGACCAATCTGAGGACACCATGAAAATACCAATTTGCCCTCAGGACAGTGGGCTGAAAGTCTTCGGGCTAGGTTTCATAGACGCTGACGGCCAGGCTTGGGAGCCGTGCTGGGGCGCCGCGCTCCGGCTTCTTGAGCGCTCGCACTCTCACAGTATATTCGCACACGATCAGGGATGGGAGGGCTGTTCCGAGGACCTGCGAGAATGGCACGTCCATTTGCTAGTTCATTAACCTTCCTGGTATCCTTCGAAGTCTATCGCATAGCCTAGCAGAAATATAACCCACAACAATTCACCAACGCCGAGGCGAGCAAGCAGAAACCATAACCCAGGACTAGCGCCAACGCGAGCAAGCAGAAAACATAACCTACGACCAACGCCAATGCCAACCAACAGCACGCTCCTCACACAGGCTCGGAGTTCCACTGCGGCGGGCCCAAAGAAACACTCTCCCGCCGATGCGGGAGCTTCCCGGAGTAACGAGCACGGCGATATATCTCCACCGACTCCTCCCTCTTCTCGTAGGAATCTGCCGAGACCCAGTATTCGGCGGGCGTCTTCATGCAGTGCTGCCTGCGGTCTCCTTTGCCGTAGGACATTCCCCGAAAGAGCTCCTTCGCCAGCCCGGGACAGTGGTCGATGAGGTCGTCAGCATCTTCCAGCGCCTTGTAGTCCCAGTCTGATACCTGGTAGCTGTCCCAGTACCGCTTCAGCCAGTCGCGGTAGAAGAGCCGCAGGGGGTGGCGCATGTCCTCGTCGTGCTCCGTCATCTCCCAGGTGTCCAGCACGTCTTCGAGGTCCAAATAAGCGAGCGTTCCCCAGTGCCAGGTCGCGTCCTCCCGATCGTCCTCCTCGTAGTACTCTGGATCGTACACGACGTGGTCATACCTGAGGTTTAGGTAGTACAGGAGGCCCAGGCAGTGGTTCTGGAAGTCAGCGCTCATCAAAAAGTTGCCGAGAAACCACGCCTTCGTTGTGAGCCCAAAGTCCCACACCGTCACCGGACACTTCTGCTTCCCCGCATCCACCTGGTGCTGCTCCTTGTCGTCTTGCACCTCCAGCCGCCACTTGATGTACTCCGTGTACGCGGCTTTCCAGTCATCCTCGTCGACCAGGATCTCGGCGCCGGTGACCAGCCAGCGGGCATAGAGGTCGAAGACCGCTGGGTCGACGTCGGCAAGCGTAACCGTGCGCGACTCCTGGTCGAACCACACCGGCTTCAGCTTGGTGCGGAAGAACTCGGACGTCTGCAGCAGCGCCGCGGCCGGCAGGCAAAAGGTGCTGGCATCTGGTTCTGCGCCGACCTTGACGATGACGGTGTCTTTGCCGCTCGGGTCCGCGAGCTCCAGGTCGTAGCTACTCCTGAAGAACTTCAGGCCGCTGGGCCCAGGCACACGGTTCTCTGGCGGCCAGGGAAAGCCGGCGTCCTCCTCTCCGTCGTATTCATAGCCGTCCTCGTAGTAGTATCCGGCCTCGGTATCGCCCGTCCAGGAGGCCTCCGGGTAGCTTTCCTCCGGCGGGTAGTCTTCCTCAAAATGGGAGCCTTCCACAGGCAAGGGCATACCCCAGATGTCGAACTTGGTGGCAGGCATGGTTAGTGTGTTGAGGAGAATATTCGGATTCGTGACCGTTGGTGAAGAGAAAAGTCGACGTCAAAATTCGAATATTCGAGTTCTTCGGTGCCGGGGGATGAGGTGGGGACTATTCAAAGATTGCAAGCTTATATAGTGCAGCAAGTCGAATCTCTTTCTGGTACAGTTAAAATTTGTTTCCCCAGTACCGTTGAAATTTTCTGGCTGGTACCGTTAATTTTTTTCTTTTCGGATATGCATTATTTGGGGTGTTGGGCTGACTAGTAGGCGACGCTTCAGGCAGCAGTGGAAAAGGGCAACACTGAGCGACGCTATCCTGAAAACGCGCACCACTCGCCCAATGAACACGAATTACCGAAAGATGGACTTTGGTTTCCATATCCGAGGGTGTGAACGCCGCCCTACAAACCGCCCACCTCATTCCACGCAAGTAGTGGCGATGCAGAAAATGCCCGAGTCTGTGACTAAGAGCTCACGAATGGTGGAATTCGGTTACCATATCCAAGGGTGAGGATACTGCCCTATAAACGCGGGCCTTATTCCACGCAAATAGTGGCGATGAAAGAATTGCCCGAGTCGGTGACGCTTTCCTCGCCCGAAAGCAAACCCAACTACGCCTCCTCTTTCGTAGCACCCTTTTTACTATTCTTCCTCGCTCCGTGACTTTTAGCCGTCACATCCAGAACCCCCTTCTTCACCAACTCCTCCAACCTTGCATTCCCACCCGCAGGCGTCACAATCTCGCGCAGCCGCCGCAGGACCTCATCTTGCGCCGCGCGGTTGTGCTTCACGTGCTCGTCGCGCGCGTTCGTAAGGACATGGATCCCGACATCTTCAACCTGGTCGTACTTGTCTTCGTTTGGTATCTTCAGATAGGCGAGGATGCCGCAGTTGACGAAGCGGAATGTGAGACCATCGGCGTAGGGGTATGTTTGGATGCGTGCTGTGGCGGTAAGCTGAGCACCTTGTACTGTATGTATACTACATGTGCCGGGAGGGAGGCTTATAATCGTCGCGGAACACTACCTTGTGCGCCGTGCTGCCTTCGTACGTATCTTGGAATGTGGATTTGCGGGGGGATGAGGTGATGTGAATTTGCTGTCCCGGTTGTCGTTCTGTTGCCCATGCAGAAAAGTGCTACCTGGTTTATATATCTTTTTATACTATACGTACTATAAGTATAGATACGCTACTATACGTAGTAATCTGTTCGACGACTTGTCTCCATTCAGTATCTTGACAGTTCTGCCGTAACCATTGTCCAATCCAAGCGAGATTCCCCCACTCACAGTATAGTGGGCTTGCAGGGTGGAGCAGCCGCTCCGCAACAACAACCACAACCACAGCAGCAGCAGCAGACATCTTCAACCAGTTGGGAATGGGATGAAAACTACAAGCGCTATCGACGCTTGGAGGGGGGGAAGTGGGTGTGGCAACAGTAGATCAAACCAAGGTCTGTCATTCCACCAACGCTCTATTCTATAATGAACTAACTTGCTTACAGATCAGATTGCCCAAACCGCCACAACGCCTAGCAGCTCCCTATCCCAAGCTACGGACTGCTGTGTTGGAAACCGTCTGGCTCTAGATCAATGTCGTTTTCCTCCGTTCTTTCGTTCCTTCTTTCGTTCCTTCTTTCGTTCCTTGGTTGTTTCCTACTCTGCTCCATCATCTGCCGTATAATTTATGCCAGCGCCATTCATGCCCTACCTAGACAAGCCTAGTCAGCCTCTCAAGACGGAGAACAGAATATAAGTCGTCGTACCGCAAACCTCACGTGAGATGCCGTGTTAAATTTCAGGCGCAGCTATTGCCCTGTAGCATCGTCGCCCTTCAGAACCCTCCAATGCTATTGCAGATGAAGTCCCAAGCCTCCTTAGATTGTGGGTGTGGGGTAAGGAAAGAGTCGATCCATCCACCACCTCGCCAGTCTTCCCAGTCGCCTACAGAATACATAGCTTTGCAATACTCCCAATACTCAGGATACCACCCAGCCTGTTCCCAGTCAATAATGCTTAGGACTCTCGCAGGAGTCGTAGTCGTGATAATAATATTATTTCGATGAAGGTCAGAGTGCGTAAAAACTATAGGACAGTCATCCGGCAAGGACTTCCTCCAAGGGTCTGGCACTTGTTCCGGCTCTGGGGCAATACGCCGCCACAGCCATGACAACCGGTCGTGAAAGGTTCTAACGTTAGGGAATGGCCCTGTCTCTGGATGACTGTCTAGTATGCGATCTCGTAGCCTTTTAGAAACCCACCAGCCTTTTTGATCGGCTTGCCTAATAGCTCAACCACTTCACCCAATTCTCTTCCACAGCGCAGTGATGGCGCCAATCTCTCAATCCCGTTCCTCGCTTCTCTATCAATGACGCTTCGCGTCAGCGTCCTGCATTTATCTAGGTCTCTTCTTTCGTCAACATTGGCTACAAGCCTCTTGGTGCCGGCAGGAATACCTCCACCTTTGCCTTAGCCGGACCTCTGAAGGTTGCCGTCATCCATTGGAACCACATCATCTTTTCGTCCTTGTTGACCTCCAGATTATGCACGTGTCTGCTCTGCCTACCATAGTATAGAGTGGAGCAGAATTTGAGTCGCTGTCAGAGTGAACTAGAGATCCATGTTAGGTACTCGCCAGCGTTTACAGGAGGCCTGACTTGTCGGTTCTAGCCATAGCACCTACCAATGGGCTTCTCCCAAAATCCTTGCGAAAATCATGCATCCTTCGCGCCTTCGTGTGGACACTCGGTTTCACGACAGGTCAACGTTTGCCCCTCAGTAATCACCGCCCCAACCACAAATCCTTCATCGAAGCACTCAAGATCATCATGTCGGCTGACGCAGAAAAGTGGAGGTATCTTCCCCAAGACCACAAGCTCCGCTCGACAAAGCTGCCCTGGTACAATGCAAGCTTCGAACACAAACTGGCCCCATCCTTTCGAAAGCTGCTCGAAGAGTGGAGCGGCATCGCACCGGAGGACGTAATTCCCCATATTTATCGCACTGTAAGTCTTACATGTCAATACAGTCCTCATTAGCAGTCGACGTAGCGATATCTTACTAGAACCACAGCGCGAAGAAACCTGGAAAGTCTTCCCATTTCCCTGCATTGGCACTTTCTGGTTTGTCAAGCAAGGGCTTCTACACCACCCGGATTATGCTCGCATGCTCGAAAGGCTTACATCCGTCCCCTCAACCTCCGGATTCCCTGCCGCAGCCCCAGGACCCCGATTCCTCGATCTGGGAACGTGTCTTGGACAGGACGTCCGCACACTCGCCCACGATGGCGCCCCACTATCTAGCCTCTACGGCGCGGATTTAATTCCAGGTTTCGAAGCTGCAGGGCATGCTTTGTTCAGGGACAGCGACCGCCTCGACTCTTCGCACTTCATCACCGGCAATATCTTCTCTGATGACGACGATCTGGCGAAGACGAGGGGGACGTGGGATATTATCCACATTTCCATGTTCTTGCACGTCTTCTCGCTTGCCGACCAAGAAACCGCATGCAAAAACATCCTCCAGCTGCTGAAAGCCACGCCGGGGTCTACAGTCATCGGAACGCAGACTGGGACGCTGGATGCGGGGGATATGGTGCTGAAGCCGCCGATGTGCGAGCCGGGAGAGCACAAGACGGTCTTTCGGCACAGCAAAGAGACGATGAACGATATGTGGGAGAGGGCTGCGAAGGCAGTTGGTATTTCATTGAACGTGTGGAGCGACTATGACGCGGACGAGGCGAGGGAAAGAGCTGAGGGAAGAAAGGAAAAGGGCGAGGAGTGGGAGAAGCGAGAGAGGCATTTCGTTGGGGATAGGGAGAGGAAGATTTTCTTCAGGGTAGAGACGGTCTGAGCTGTCCGCGTGCAGTAGCGAGGAACACCTGGGCCGGGTTGAGGTCGGCACCTCACGTGGTAATAGTCTGTGTGAACATTGATGATAAGTAAGTAGTCATTAGATCGACTCGATTTGTTAAGTGAGATGCACCTAGGCAGATTTTCCTATTGTGCCCCTTGTTCAGGCCCACCCATGTCTCGCTCGTCGGACGTTGTTATATCCGTTATTCCCGCACGGAGATCGCTTCTAGGGATGCTTTCCACTTCATTCAAATCATTGCGTCGCAGTCCTCACACTCCTTCAAACACAACTTTTAAAGTTCATTCAGTATGTCGTCTCCCTCAGAGAGCATGGACAAAGTCATCAAAACCACCTCACCAAACCTCAAACTCTCCTTCCCCAACGCTACGGTAACAACCCCGGGCCCCAAGCTCTCCAAGCAAGATTCCCGCCCCGCACCAACGCTCTTCCTCAAATTGCCGACCCCCTCCAAAACCTACTTCTCTATCTCCCTCGACCCAGACGCGCCATTCCCCTCCTTCCCGTTCCTAGGCCCAGTCTTGCACACTCTCCAAACAGACTTGACCGCGCAAGGGGAAGCAGACGGCGAAGGCTGGGTCAAGCTTTCAGGGAGCGGGAAGCCGCTGGCGCCGTGGGTGCGGCCAGGACCCCCGGGCATCTCGGCACCGCATCGATATGTGTTTCTAGTGTGGGAGCAGCCGGAAGGGTTGACGGAGGAGAGGATTAGGAAGGAGATGGGGTGGGGTGAGCAGGTGGGATTGATGGCAAGGATGAGGTGGAATCAGAGTGGGTTTGAGGGGAGGTTTGGCTTGGGGGATGTTGTTGGGGGGAATTGGTTTGTCTGTGGGTGATGATCGTGCGGGATTGGCCGCGTGTTCCTTTCTTGGATGCGAGGATGGATAGGTATGCCGTCTATGCTGGGAATGGAATGTGAGGTTAAGTATGTCTCATAAGCTTCCGCGGTTGTGATTAGTTTGGGGCATAATAGTGGTAGCGGGGGAAGGCAGGAGCTACCGATATGTAATAGTGCCTGACACACACGTTTGAAAGAAGCTCGTTTGACATTATGGTGAATTCTGACCAAAATGGTTCAAGAAGATGCAAAGTGGTTGGAGGGTACGGAGATGGTGTTTGGTGCTCGGCCGGTGTTGCTCCGGAGATCTCGTAAATGTCGCGCACGGACCGCGGGCTAAAAGTGTGGAGAAAGTTCAGGTCGGGAGCACTCCCACACTTCAACTCGAACTCCGCAGATGGCCACACTTCCGCAATTCAATTGACACTCTCACCTTCCTGAAGGCATTTCCCCTTGCGCTCTCTTACCTTACGCGTCTGGGCTTCTCGGATATCCTGAAGCTGCATGTAGCTCGCCGCATACCCTCATCGCCTCCTGAAAATATTCGCAACCATGCCTAGCCCAATGAGCCTGATATACTACGCATTCCACCCCACGGAATTGCGCTCCATTATTCAATGGTCAGTTCTACAAGCTACGCGGTCTCGAACCTGCTCATTTCCCTCCACTTTGGTTATAGACATTAACCCAGCGAACAGGAAAGTCTGGCACAACCCTGTGCACGAGCGCGATGAATCTAAAGAGACCGATGCCCTCAAGCGATGCTTCTACTTCCTCGATATGACCAGTCGCAGTTTCTCCGCTGTCATTAAGGAACTGCACCCCGAGCTCCTCGTACCCGTCACCTTGTTCTACCTTGTCCTCCGAGGATTGGATACCGTGGAGGACGACATGACAATACCGCTCGAGACGAAGGAACCCATTCTGCGGAATTTCCAGGATGTCCTCGAGCAGGATGGTTGGACATTCACCGAGAATGGACCGGACGAGAAGGACCGGCAGCTGTTGGCTGAGTTCAACGTTGTGGTGGAGGAATTCAAAAAGATCAAGCCGGCGTATAAGACCATCATCAAGGATATCACTAAGAAGATGGGCAATGGCATGGCAGACTATGTGCGCAATGCTGAGCACGACACCAACGGGGTCAACACAATCAAGGACTACGAGCTGTACTGCCACTACGTCGCCGGTCTGGTCGGCGAGGGTTTGACCCGCCTTTTTGTTGAGGGTGGTCTAGCAACTACCGAGCTGCTGAAGAGGCCAGTGCTGATGGAGTCCATGGGCCAATTCCTTCAGCAAGTCAACATCATCCGCGACATTAAAGAGGATCACGTCGACAAGCGGCGGTTCTGGCCCAAGGAGGTTTGGTCCAAGCACGTGGACAAGTTCGAGGATCTATTTCAACCGGAGAACAAGGAGAAGGCTTTGAGCGCCAGTTCGGAGATGATTTTGCTCGCCCTGAACCGTGCTGACGACTGTCTGTACTATCTCGCCGGAATCAGGGAGCAGAGTGTGTTCAATTTCTGCGCCATTCCGCAGTCCATGGCCATCGCCACTCTGGACGTCTGCTTCCAGAATCACGAGCTCTTCAAGCGGAACGTGAAGATCACCAAAGGAGAGGCTTGCCAGTTGATGATTGAATCATCGCAAAACCTGCAGATGGTCTGCGACGTGTTTAAGCGGTATACTCGCAAGATCCATCAGAAGAACAATCCACACGACCCCAACTTCCTGAAAATCAGCATTGCCTGCGGGAAGGTAAGTCATCAACGGTTGTAACGTGCCTGCGAGCGACTTTTGCTGACGTACTTTACAGATCGAACAGTTCATCGAAACCATCTTCCCTTCGCAGAAGCCGCCTGTCGATGCGAAGCATAAGTCGCCGGCCAGCCTAGCGGAAGAGGCTAGGTTGAAGAAGGAGGCCGAGGAGGCCAAGTGGGACAACATCTACATGGCTCTTGCGGTCGTCTCGACCATCACCGTCATCACCGGATTGATGGTATGTTGTTCTATCTACCACGTCGTCCGCCATCGCTTACGCTATCTAGCTGTTTATTGCCTGGTTAGCGGGTGCACGATTCGACGTCGCTTTTGTGCAGTTCAAGGAGCAGATGGGGCAGCTGCTAGGCATCGGCCAGGCGTCAAACGCAACTGCTCCATCCGGCCACAGCGAACTGTAACCATGGCGGGTACACACTTTAATATCTATATGTGTATATGTAACTATAATAGCCGGCAGCTCGTCTTTCTGAGCCAGGTATGGTTCGGTACCCCTTGAATTAATACTGATATGCGGCCTCCCCGGTCGCACCACCCTTCCAGCGATCTCAAGCGCGATGTCATAGCACGGATGTCAAATTGCAATTCGGCCGCTCAATGGCTGCAGTTGTGCCGCTAGAAGTGCTTATATCGAAACGCGCCGTGCTCGGCGACGAGGCTGCTCCCGGCCTGCTCTCAATTGTGGGCTCGGCTTGGGGCAGCGGCGTGGACATTACCCTTTTCCCGATAGTTTCTTAATAAGAGCAATCCGCTATTGCGGTTCACTTGCATGATATCATCGCGACCTCCTGTTGTTTCTGATGTCAACGGTGAAACAGGAGCTAGCGTGCCAAGATCGCACGTGCTTTAGCGTCGCTCGCGGGCGGACTTTCCTTTGAAAGCACCTGCATTTTCTTCGTCGGCAGCGAACGGCGGACAAGAACGATAACACCCACCCACCGCAACCCCCTCCCCGCACCCCGACCGCTTCCACGACAAACAGCAAGCACACCGCCGCACATACGCGACTGCTCCTCTTGCTTCTTCGCCTGGCGCGAGTTCAAGAAGCCTTTCGGCGCCTAATCTTCACCCACTTTCCATCCACTACTTCTTCCGCCAACAACCACCTATTCTCTCTCGCAGTTCCGCTCGCTATCGGCACAACCCCACATCTTCTCCGCTTCCATATCCCCATCCACCACAATGGCTGACGTTGCGACGGCGCCAAATCCCAACCAGCAGGTCCCGTTGGACACGATTCCCATCTCGCCGTCAGAGAACACTTCAAGTGAAGCTAAGACGCAAGGTTCCACCAACGCTGCCTTGGAAGGAGAGATTAGGACTGTCTTCCACGATGCAGAGAACTTCAACGTCAAGCACCCCCTCATGAACACCTGGACGCTCTGGTTCACGAAGCCTCCGAGCGGCAAGGTACGCCACTCCCGCACGCTACACCTCTACTATATGCTAATAGTCGCAGGGCGACAACTGGAACGAGCTGTTGAAGGAGGTCATCTCTTTCGACTCGGTCGAGGAGTTCTGGGGCATCTACGTGAGCGCATCCCGTCTTTGATATGACTGATAGTGGCTAACGTGAGCGTAGAACAACATCACGCCGACGTCCGACCTCGCTCTCAAGTCAGACTACCACCTCTTCAAGAAGGGCGTGCGGCCGGAGTGGGAAGACACGCAGAACAAGCACGGCGGCAAGTGGGCCTTCCAGTTCAAGGACAAGAAGTCGATCAACATCGATGCGCTGTGGCTGCACGTCATGCTGGCCGCCATCGGCGAGAACCTCGAGGACGAAGACGATAACGAAGTCATGGGCGTCGTCGTGAACGTTAGGCGTGGCTTCTACCGTATCGGCCTCTGGACCCGGACCGTCGGTAAAGCTCTCCCCGGCGAGCAGGGCAAGGGCAGGACATTTGAGCAGGGCAAGGAGACTCTCACCAAGATCGGCAAGCGCTTCAAGCAGGCGCTGCAGCTCAAGGAGAACGAGGTGGTCGAGTTCTCGGGCCACACGGATGCTGCTCACGCGGGTAGTACACGTGCGAAGGCCAAGTTCGTCGTCTAAATGGCCGTGACGGGGCCGGACTGACGGCTTCGCATGTGGAAGTCTTGGGCAGATTATTAGGACGAAGCTCGGACTTTGCCTCATACTCCGCGTGTGCTCCAGTGGTCACGGCCTTGGATAGGCTTCTGGTCATTTTCTTTGGATGGGTAAAAGAGCCTTGGAAAATTCGCTCATCGGTCATCTGGTGCTTGGGTTATAGCATGGCGTCTGCATGGGGCGGCGACGGGTGTGACATTGGGTTTTTGACATGATTCACATGGCCTTGGTGGATATGGTCGAGCGCGGGAGGGAGTGGTACTGTGCTTGATAGACCTAATCTCTTAACTCGTAAATAGAGCTACGGGCAGGAGAGGATATCATCTCTGAAATTCTGAGCTGCTGGGCACGCTGAATCACCGTGCGTATTCGTAGCTTCCGCGTCACCAGCACCGAGGCGTAGCTTCGTAACTCCGGGCTTCCGCTTGGTGTTCGCGTGCTGGGTGAGATGGAGACTGGGGCTTGGCGTGATTGGTGACGTCGCTTGTGTGGCTTGCGGCGGTGCGAAAATCGACTACTTTTGCTGCCTCGCGCCCAGCACACCGCGACACTTTTCCTCCTTTCCCACACCTGCCCGCTTCGCTCCTATACCCGCAACCATGGTTGTCGATACGACTTATTACGACGCCCTACAGGTGCCGCCGACAGCGAGCGAGCTCGAAATCAAGAAGGCGTACCGCAAACTCGCTATCAAACTTCACCCTGGTAAACGGAGCAAACATAGCCAAGCGCACCATGCAGCAGCTTACCTTGGGCAGATAAGAATCCAGGCGACGAGACGGCGCACGAGAAGTTCCAAGCTGTACGTAGTTTCCCCGAATCCACGCGAGAAGAAAGTTCGGGTGGTTTGGTGGATGGCGGGGCTTACGCTGTAATAGATTGGCGAGGCATACCAGGTGCTCAGCGACGAGTCGCTGAGGAAACAGTATGATCAGTATGGAAAGGAAGGCGCTATTCCGAGCAGCGGGTTCGGTATGGATCTGTGGCAGTATCATTAGGATTTGCAGAGCGCTGACTTGCTGGTAGAGGACCCCGCCGAGTTCTTCTCCATGATCTTTGGCGGCGATGCGTTCGTTGACTGGTACGAGCCCCCTTAGCCGGACTGGAGCCCATGTATAAAGGATACTGAGGGCTAATACGTCTGCAGGATTGGCGAAATCTCGCTAATGAAGGACCTCACCAAGACCATGGAGATCTCCATGCGCGAAATGGAGGAGGAAGAGGCCGCCAAACCTGAAGCCTCGAGCTCAGCTGCCACAGAACAGACGACCGGTACGACAACCCCCGCAGAACCGACAAGCGCAGCCAAAGCCAAAGAAGCCGAGGCCGCCGCTGAAGCCGCAAAGGGCCAGGAAGGAGCGCCACCTCCAGCATACGGAGCTCCACCGCCTCCCTATGTCGAGACGCCCGCCGACTCCTCCGCTGCACCCTCACATACGCCGTCTATGTCGGGGACTAGCACTCCCCGGTCAGGCCGCGGCATACCGATTCGGCCTGCTATCATGAACAAGTCGGAGGAGGAAGCGCGGTTGGAGGCGGCAGGTGTAACGGATGCGGAGAAAGAGCTGCGGGAGAAGCAGAAAAAGAAGGGTGGCTTGACCAAGGAGCAGCGTGAAGAGCTCGCCGCATACGAGCTCGAACGCAAGAAGATCCGGGACGAGCGCGTCCAGACTCTCGCAAAGAAGCTCATCGATCGCATTTCAATATGGACCGAGACAGACAAGGGCCCGGATGTTACACAGGCATTCAAAGAGAAGACCCAGCTCGAGATTGAAAACCTCAAGATGGAAAGCTTCGGGCTGGAAATCCTACACGCGATCGGCACCACGTACCTCCAAAAATCCACCTCCTTCATCAAGTCCCAGAAATTCCTCGGCATCTCAGGCTTCTTCTCGCGAGTCAAGGATAAAGGCACGCTCGTCAAGGATACATGGAACACCATGTCCGCTGCCATCGACGCACAGCTCACGATGGAGGAAATGGCCAAACTAGAAGAGAGGGGCGGCGAAGACTGGACAGACGAGAAGAAAGCCGAGTACGAGAAGAAAGTCACAGGGAAGATCCTCATGGCTGCTTGGCGAGGTAGCAAGTTCGAGATCCAGAGCGTGCTGCGCGATGTCTGCGACGTGGTGCTCAACGACAAGAAGGTGAAGCTGGAGAAGCGGATAGAGCGCGCACAGGCACTAGTCCTGATGGGCGAGATGTTCCAGAAGGTATGTCCAGCTTTCCTCGTTCTGTTATAGATCCGGGTGGCTAACGTAATGTCTCACAGGCGGAGCGCGACCCCGAAGAAGAAGGCGACTTTATGGCCTTCGAGCAGCTCATGGCTGAGGCCGCGGCGAAGAAAGAAGAATCTAAACGCGACCACAAGCACGACAAGAAGAAGAACAAGGAAAAGGAGAAGGCATGAGTTCACTTCTCCCCTGAACCCTTGCCTTGCATCTCCTCTCCTAACGAGCATCTCTTATCTTTCATGATATCCATAGATTCTTCATTCCGGCAGCGTGGGATCGAGCGGGGACGTTGCTAATGATGTTTTTGAGAGCAGATTGATTCTGGCATGGGAGATTCGGATATGGAAGATTGAAAGCGCGTGTGAACGCCGTGGGGTTCTGGATCACCAAGAATCGGTGGAGCCAGTGTGGGGATGTGTGGTATGGACGACCAGAGCTTCGAAGAAGCTGCTCAGTTTTCATCTTAGCGTTCTCATTGCATGGCTTTGGTTCATGGATGGGTTTTTGGCGGCCAATGCATCATATCTCCGCTTCTTTGCGTGAACTCAAGCCGGTATTGCTGGGTAGCGTCTTGTTGCGCCGACAGCGGCGATACTAGAAGGCATCGGGAGCGGACCAACACTAACTCTGCTAGTTATGCACAGGTCGTAGAAGCAAAACGGATAGGATACAATACTGAACCGGCTCACGCAAGTATCAGCTAAGCGTCGCAGAACACAATTTTCTCTAGCCTGCAGCTCCCGTTCGCCAGGTTGAACTCCTGCCACTACGTACGCAATGCACACCGCTCCCGACTACAGTCTCGTCCACTGCCACCCCTACCTCTAAATCATCGCTTTGCTCCGCCCAACATGCACTAAATGGCATTCCTCGAGATATGTAGTATTTTTGAGAAGCATTGCTAAAGGATAGGAGAGTCCCATCCTGGCGCAGCCGCCCACGTCGTTATATCATGCAGCTGAGTCATCACCAACTTCGACCCTTTGCTCGGATAGAATCTAAACACCACACACTTCCTTTATCACTAGCAACAGCAAGAACGTACTACTCGGCTCTTTGCGATGGACCCTTTCGAGTTCCGACCTTGGTATCCAACGGGAATCCGCGGTTTCGTTGCCGCCGGTGCGAGCAACTTCATCGCCCTCTTCGACGATGACAGTGTCCTCAAATTCCCACTTGTACCCCCAGAGGAGAAAGATATCTATATAGCTAAAGGCATGGAATACCGCAGGAATGTCAGAAAAGCCGCGGTCAAAGGTCTCGAGGTCGAACAGCAGATACTCCAAGAATTGGGGCAGCATCCAAGAATAGTTCGTTTCGTGCGGAAACATGAAGACGGCCTGCTACTCGAATATCTGCCAAACGGATCAGTTGAGAGATATCTACGAAACGTCGCTCCCGCCACGTCATTGGCCCAAAGATTAAAATGGGCGCGCCAGGCTGCAGAAGGCCTTGCGTATATCCACGCGAAGAACGTTCTTCACTGCGATTTCAGCGTCGGCAATCTCCTTGTCGACAACGACTTGTCGATTAAGCTCTGCGACTTCCAAGGAAGACTTCTAGGTCCTAGTGGGGCAGTCATTCTCAATGGCGGGGCCGCTGAAAGTACCATGTCTTCAATGCCACGGGCGGATCGGAACCACTGCGACCGCAAAACAGATATATTTGCCTTCGGAACGGCGCTCTACTTTATGGTGACGGGAAAGCCTCCTTTTCCTGACCTGGACACCATAGATGACAAGGACGAGATCCGCAGACGATTCGAATGCCGCGAGTTCCCTTCCTTGGACTATCATCAAGGGGGTGATGTAGTGCGCAAGTGCTGGACGGGCGGCTACGAATCTGCTACTGAGATTGCGCTTGACCTACGGGAATTGGAAAGAGTGGGACGTGACACGACCGCAGCGGGAGCCTGTTCGCGTCCATCAGGATGCTGGACCGGTTCTTCCTAGCTTGCGAATCGCGGAATTCAAGGAGCAATATGATCTATTTTTATCAGAAGCAAAAGGATCACCTACTGCTCATGTAGGATAATATCCTATATATATATATCCGCTGACGATTTTGCATGCGCGGACTCATGGCCTGCATCCACTGTGGTGCACAGACGACAAACTAGTCACATCACCGATCAAAAGCTTCGTTGAGGACTTCTCTCTCATGAAATTTGGAATGATTCACGGGTGTCTACGTCTTCTTCTGTTCAAATCAACGCGCCATACTCCGCTTTACTACGATTTCTCCAGTTCAGAAGCCAACCGTGAGACCTGCTCGTCCATTGCCTAACTCCGCTAACTGCCTACCACGCAGTTAACTCAGTGACACGTGATCTCGGGATCAAGCTAAAGGTTCTGGAACGAGAACCTCACGGCGCTGAGGAAGTCGTAGGCGTACTGGAGGAACCGGGCGTGCGCGTTGCGGCGGCAGGCAGAGAAGCCGCGGAAATACGCAGCACAGCGACGCGGGCGAAGAGGCTCTTCCACCGGACAATCCGAAGGCACAGGGAGGCTGCACTAGGAGGCGTTCCTCGACGACAGCGACAACTCGTGGGAGGTGTCCAAGTACCTAGATTCGCAGGCAAGGAGCTCGTTCGTCAGATTGCGACCAATCCAGAATGCGGAGACGGAGGGAGAGGCGTTACTCATCCCTTCCTCTCTGTCCTGGCGCTAGTACACTTCTCTCACAACATTCGTCGGGCGACCTTTTTCGTTTCTTTCCGGTCCCCCTAAGTACCTCTTGGAGCGTGTTGCGCTGAGCGCCTAAAATTTGCTGGGCGGATGAGATTGCTGCTGCCGTCGCACCGCGTCCACGCTCCGCTAAAATCTGGCCAGACACGGACAATATCTCGTTAATGGACTGCAGGTCTGCAATTTGAGTCGCACTCAGCGCGCATTGCCCGCCTAGGAGGTCCCTCTCAGCCCCGATTACTCGTGCCATGGCCTTGACGAGAGGAAGGTGGACAGATTCGCTTTTCGTAAACCACACGGAGTGGCCCGCATCCGCATTCTCGGTCTTGTAAAGACGATTAAGGGTTTCTGCACGCCGTCGGGCTATCCGAAGAGGTCTTGTTGAAGTCGGCGCTGGTTCTCGACTGGCGTTCCAGTCAACCTTTGGTAATGGGTATTTGCCCTGGCTGTAGAGAGTCCACGCTTCTAGCTCTTGTATTGGCATTTCGACAATAGCTTTTCTCGTGGCATCCCTTTCCGGATTTGCGGATGCCTTGTAGTGTGTCACGAGCGCCACGCTTTGTCCACGGCGAACAGCCTCCGCTAAGGCCGTCATCTTTCGTTGAAGAACGGCGATCGAGTCACCTCTGTGGGGAATGGCCAAGCTGTCAGGGTGGCTGCTAAACGCAGCGCTGGTGGGTCTGCTTGCGTCTTCCATTGTTTCGACCCTTTTGGAATGGGCCATACCGAGTCCGTCGTAGGTATGGATTACCGAAATTTCGTTCTTTCGACGACGCGGCGACGGCTACTTTTCAATATATATAGAAAAAGGGTTGTATTATGTGCTTTGGAGGTTATCTTTGACTCATGAACTATTGATCGAATCGTGGGAATAGATATTGATAGCTCAGAGCTGAGGGGCAACGCTACCCCGCACCAATGGTGGCAGTTAACGTAGCACATCTGCGGTGTGACCAGCGCTGATGATGGCGGCACTACCAACAGACCCTTTATCTCACGAATGAATCAAACGATACCATCGCTCTTGCACCGCGGCCGTTCTCATCTCTCAGAGAACCACAGGTCTTAGAATCGCCCACTAACCCTGCGATTCTATCCCCGTGGTTGGTGGATCGACACAACACACGTCATGGCAGGGTTACCGCTCGACAACAGTCCGTCGGAAGAGTCTAAAAAGTCCAAGTTCTCGCAGTATGTATCCTTCTGTCACCTCTCGCACGGCTCCGTCCTTATCTTGAACAGGTTTCTTACCTCCTCCGTTATAGCAGTCACTGTGGCCAAGTCGAAAACATTCTACCTGCATTCGGACCTTCTAACCGCAGAATCACAAAGATTCTCCAATAGCCTGACGGGAAAGTTCATGGAAGCGGAGGCGAGCGCTATTGAGATAGAGGATGAGGATCCCGACCTCTTCGGATTCTTCGTCGAATACCTGTACCGCGACCGCTCCGTCCTGTCCCGCGAGGTCCAGCACTACTCCGAATACGTGACCCTAGCGCGCTTGTATGCCATGGGAGAACGCCTCATGGCACCGAAACTCCAAACCTATTCTCTTTGGAGATTCGCGCAATCGTTAGCGAGCAACACGTTCATTTCAGAAGAGAGCATCTGTGAGCTGCTTCGGATTGCGTGCACAGAAATCACTGAGCGAGCGAGCGAGGACCCAATGAGGGCGCAGATATTCTGGTACCGGGGGGATAAAAATCACCAGCCTCCAGAAACTCCACATGTTCCGTCAATTGCTGTGCGACATTCCCGACTTGGGGAAGCAACTGTGCCTGTGCGTGCAACAAAGCCAACCGAAAAAACCGGCCATGCCGAATGAAGTTCAATATCAGAGATTTGCGCCGGAAAGCGAGTACGGCCTGCAACACGCCCCAGAGACTACTCCAAAAAGTTAGATAGTCGATGGCTACTGTGGGATGCAAGCTTGCAGCGGCATGCAGGGAGAGGAGAGGAAGACAGGATGGCTACGTGCAAGCTCGCCACTGCGGCAGATATTCCTGAGGATGTGTAGTCGGCTATTATGGAGCGTAGAAATGGGAAAGTCTTAGGAGATGGTTAATCTGAACCAAGTAACAGTGAATATTGTACGTTGACACAGTAGAAGCTATTTCTGCTGATGCTATCAATAGTCTAGTGGGGGCGCTAAATGTAGCGAATCTTCCTAGGTCCCAGTGGAGTGGAGGTGGCAGCTCGACGTCAGCCTTGGTTGCTTCTTTTCCCCTACTTTGCAGGATCGGCCCTCTAATATATTTTCCATTGTCGCGTTACAGCTTAAACTTTTGGTATAAAGAGGAACTAGCCACGAGTCGTGGGTCGGGCCGTCCGTAATAAGTACGGAAAATTTGCGGACAGACAGATATTGCATTACAGTATAGCAAGGCCAGCCGATGAGGCCGTGGTGTATCTAAAAGCTCATATACCCAAGACCCGCTCCAATGCTATTCCAGCCGAGAGGTCCGTTCATGCCATGATGCATCCCGTACCAGTCGAAGGAGCCCCAACGCCAAACTCCAGCGCTATGCTTCCCAAAAAACATCTCACCCCATCTCCTCCCATCATCGTCCACCATCTATATGTTCTATATCCGACTTCCCTCCGCCTTCTCCTGCTCGCCGCCCTCAATCTCCATGATCTGCCCGCCTCCCGCTCTACCCCCAGCCGCCATCCCCGCGCCGGGCTCCAGCATTACCGTTCTCCTCCCTGCGCCCACGCCCACCACTCTTCCCGCAAACTGGTGCCAGCAATTCGGCGCCTGGAGTATGTACTTCTCCATCGCGATGCGGAAGCGATTGCGGTAGTCCTTTGGGGAGGTGATGGTGGGTTTATTTTTGCCGCGGTCTTTGATCCAGGACTCGAGCTTTTTGTCCCAGGTGTAGGTGCGGATGCAGTCTGTTAGTGGGATTAGTATGTGCAAAGAAAAAAAGTAAGGGGGAGAGGGGGGAGGCAGGCTTACCGATGATTCCGACGATGATTTCGTGGTTTGTATCGTCGAAGCCTGCCATGAGACTGTAGTCCATGACATTATTCTGCGAGAGGAACAGCGTGTCGTTCCACACGCTCGCCTTGAGCAATTTCTTCGTATGCTCGCGGACGAAAATGGGCGTCTCGCTGTAAATGATATCGACGAGGTTTTCATCGAGCAGCACCTCGTCGCGCTCGCCCGTGGACTGGATTTTGCGATTGCGCATGCTTCCCTTAAGGTCGTATCTCCGGTTCGGCTCGCGGTCGTAGAAAAGATTCTCCATAACCAGCATAAACCAGTCAAAGTCTCGCCCGGTCGGCGTCTTGATTTGGACCTGGAACAAGCCGAACATCTTGGCGATGACAGACGGCAGGCCCTTAAATAGGTTTTGGTGCGTGAAGGCGAAGTAGTTAGGTGCGAACCGGAAGAAAGCGCCGACTTCGATGGGGGACAAGCTCTTGAGGACGAAACGATCATCGAGTGTTTTGAGGAAGATGGATTTTGACTTCCCCCCCTTGGAGTCCCATTTCGAGCAGCGGGACAGCGATTCGACGAAGCGGTCTGCGACGCCGCATTTGCGGCGCAGCGCGTCGAAGGACTGCGCGTAGAAGATTTTGCATTGCGCTTTGACGCCGCGGTTGGTGAAGCCGTACCGGATGTTTGTGTTCTTTTCGTGCAGCAGGTTACGCTCGATTGAAGCCTCTGAGCCTTCTAGGCCGCCGACGCTTTTCTCAGAGAAGGTGGGGTCTGCACGGAAAGATTGTAGCTTAACCAGGTAGTCCGGGCTTGAGAGTGCGAGGGCGATGATGGAGCTTGGCTCGTCTTCTCGAACAATGATGTCCGAATCCTCCCAGACATGCTCAATCTGGGCGAAGGGATAATCGAGTGGTACCCATCCGCTGGCAGAGCGTTCAGACCAGAAGCTTGTCAGCATCTTCACCAGAGTGTTTTTCTCATGCTTCGGCAGCTCTAGAGAGCTTTCCAGCTGCGACTCGGTCATGGAAAGGAGCTGGGAGCTGGCAATGCTGTCCGGTAGGGGCAAATCCTCTGGCGCAACCTCAGCATCGCTTGCTTCATTCTCGATGTCTGAGGTAGGGTGGCTCGGCGTGGTAGGCTGATCCTCGCTCTCATTCGGACGAGTCGCATCTTTCTGATGGCGCTCTTCTACTGGGGAGTCAGAGGCTGTGGTCGCCCCAGTTGTCTCCGTAAAAGCGCTATCGCCAAGCGTACTGTTGTCCGTGCTGATGCGTGTAGATGAACCTGGCTGAAGATCCTCATCAGATGGATTATGCTCCTGCACAGCTTCGTGCACATCCTTGTACACCTCAACAATAGGTTTTGACGACGCTAACGGATAAGCACGCGCCCGTCGATTCCGTTCGTTCCGCCGCTCACGCATACGCTCTTTCTGGAATTCTCGCGAAAGTTGTTCGAAGTGTTCTGCCAGTTTTGAGACTTTGGAAGCCTCCCTCTGTGTCCGGAACGGGACGGAGCGAGGAATCTTGGAGGTCGACTTTGTTTGCTTGAATGCACCCAGCCCTAGTCGCTCGGACATCCGTTCAATTGCCTTTGCAGACTCGCCCATAACAAGCTTGGGTGATTCGGGCCCGGCATTAGTCAAGGCAACGGGAGAAGGGCTTGGGTGCTTCGGAATACCTCCGGGCTGCGACTGTGTTCGTATCAGTCCACCTGGCCTCACTGGGGCCCCCGCTTCACGCCGGATGGTATCAACGAGACGCGGAATCTTGCTTTCCAGTATGCCGCCAGATGAAGGTGCGGGTGTCGGCGAGGATGGCATATTTTCGATGGCGTCAACAATACTCTTGTCGATAGGGTTAACCTTGGGGTGGGCGATGGGCGTAGGGGATCCCGGTTCGGGCAAGGTCGACTCTGCAGAAAGGGTGGGTGTCTTCAGAAGCTGTTCCTCTTTGATAGTAGGATTATCCGGGAAACTGGAAGAGACAGCAAGATCTAAATGGCGGACGTCCTCCCTTTCCAATGCCTCGATAGGTGTCTGTATCGGCAGTTCTGGTTTGGGGGTGGACTCGGGAACAACTAGAGGTTTTTCAGATGGCGTATCTGGTTGGGTCTCGGCCGGGTGATTGCCATTTGACTGATCTTCTTTCACCACGGAATTCAACATGTCCCGCGCACGTTCCGGCGACATATCTGAAGGCATAGGTGCCAACGTAATGGGCTCCCCTTTCTCGTTGAGCATAGATTCTTCCACGCCCGACTCTGCTCCCTCTTCAACCGAGGTCAACGAGGAAGTCGACTCGTCACGCTCCAGGAAAAGCTTCTTGAGCTGGAGAGTGGCAAGGCGCCTTATGTCTTTCTCTGACGGGAAGAATTGATGCTCGAAATCGGTGAAGGTTTCGTCCCATGCAATTGCCTTCTCCTGGATAGCACGGATAGCTCTGTTCATGGGAATAATCTCGTAGTACTTTGAGCTCAGATACTTCTCTTGAAGCTTCCGCCTTAGCCATTCATGCTCCTCATTAGCCCGCCTCATCAGCTTCTCTACCTCAGCTCTACATGGTTCGACTTTCTCAGGGATGACACTCTCGACATGAATGCTCTTGATCCTCGAACGTACGGATACCATAAATCGGTCTAGTCGTTCCTCAATCTTCAGGAATTGGTCGTTCTTCAGCTTGAGATCGCTGTCCACTTTCCACGTCACAATTGGTCGCGGCACAATGACCTCGTAGAGTGGCACTGGGTCATACTGAATGCGGAGAGCAACATTGTTGGACCCAAAGTATCGCACATGATTCTTATGGATATCATGAGGGCAGAGATCCGCTCGTGGATGAAGCTCGCTACTCCAGAAGGTCAACTCCAGGTACTTCGCGAACGAGTATTTCCAGGTATTGTCTGACATGGGGATGACCTGGGTCTCCTGGCCGCAGATCCGACAGCAGCTCCACATCAGGATGGTGTTGTGTAGGCCTTTGAGCTTTGCAGGGCACTTTTGCACGATGACGCTCATCTGCCCGTTTCCGTGAACGTATTGTCGTGAATGGTCGAGCATTCTCCGATTGCATCCGTCAACCTCGCAGAGCATGTTTGCCGAATGACAAAGATCCTCAACGTATTGGCCCAAGGTGCAATCAGGAGTAAAGCCATCATCAAAGTCGTGCTCTTGGTAGAAGTTAAGAGCGATGATCTCGGGTCCAATACAGGGCGTGGAATTTGCCGTGTTGACGACGCTATAAAGGACGGCAATTCGTTGATGGTTAAAGGGGTCAAACAAATCCATGTTGGTTGCCAGGTACGCTTCCCATTGCCTCTTCTGTGTCTTGTAGTTGTGCAATGCTTTGTCATATTCGGATGCGTGGACCGCATGCAAAAACTCACGGACCTGTTTGGACGCCTTCTCGACCACGACATGCACCATTTCCGGTTGAACCAAATCGAACTTCTGGGGTTGTCCCTCAACTTCTTCTTCGCTCGTGTTATACTGATCCCGTAACAGTTTCAAGTAGTCGAGCTTTTTCTCGTATTCGCGAGCCTGGTTCAGCAGATACGGCTGCATGAATTTGACGAATGGTGAAGCAGAGAGGATCTTGGTGCGATGGCTCTCTACCATCTCACTATAGTAAGAAGGTGCCGGCGCATCTTGTCGAATATGTGGACGTTCACCGGCGGCTGCTGTGCTGTTCTCTGTGTCTGGAGCGGAAGTTGTTGAGGTCGTCAGGGGTTCCATTGGTGGTTTGGTGCCTAACTCCTTGCACTCGTTCTGCTGATGGTTGGAGGCCAAGGTTCCGCTACTGGATATAGCGGGGATCATGACAAACTCGTCACGCATGAGACAGGTCTCCAACTTGAGGTTGTACACCACGTAGCACATGAATTCCGTAATGCGCTTTAAGCGCGCCAGGTAGTTTGTCTCTGCACCTCGCAGGACTATTGTGCATCCCAAGTCAGGTTGACATCCAGAGAGGTAGATGTAAGTGCGCTTCGCATTCTTGTGCACATAAGTCTTAACATCGAAGCTGCCGCATCGCCCTAGGCGAGAGGGATCGGCGAGTTGGTCGACCGAAGTGACTGGTCGAGACTGAGTACACCTTGCTACCGCGTTCAACACGGTTTCTTTGACGTTGTAGACGACAGCGATACCGGCTTGTTCAAGGAACTCGAGGGCAAGGCCAGAAACGTTGCGCTGCACAAGCAGGACGTGAGGCCGCAAGGCCGCTATCCGGCCGACTAGATTGCGGAGGTATTCTCTCTCCTGCGCAATGACCGGCTCTAGACTCATGAAATGCGTTTGGTGGCGCGCATACTCGATTGCGAAAGTGATGATGATGATCCTAGGGTCAGGTATAGTGCGTGGCATGCTCTTCAGCGCAATATTCTTCGTAAATACCACGCCAGAGACGTACGAAGTGTCGCGCGGCTTCCCCCCGGGAATCTTCTTCAGCTTGATGTAATGCCGAATATCGATGTCATCGCCTCTATGCAGGTCCGGATTGACATCATCGGTACACTGTAAAAATATCGGGACCAACGCCTTTTCCCAACTAGATACGTGCGCAATGCCGGCATCCTGCAGCATCTGCTTTAGGAGCTTCCGTACGTGTTCGAGACTTGCTTGATTTAATTCCACGTTCGGAGCGTTTCCCCCTTGCATAGAGGCACTGCGAGTGATTTTCGAACCCGATGGAGGCGTCGGAGAAGGCTGAGGTTGGGGTGACGTAGGTTGCGTAGCACTTCCGCCAAAGCCAGCCCCGAAAGGTCTTAAGAGGCTGTTGCTCTTGGAGCGGCGTGGTGAAGGTCGATGAGCGACACTGCTCACACTGAGGTTCCTTCTTCGAGGATGTCGGTTGGTGTGGCGGCTCGTAATACTTGCGTTGTCGGCGTCTCGAGCATGGCCTCCGCCGATGACACTCCTCTCGCCTCTAGACTTTCCCTTTCTCATTGCCGCTAGCAGCCCCCCGAGCCCGCCCTTTTCACTGTCCATGCTTGTGTGCGACGGTGAATCTCCCCTAAGAGTAGCAAAGATACTTGCTTGCTCCTCCTCGCTTGAACCCTCATCGGACATGAAAGGTGCGAGATCCGGGTCGATGATATTATCATGGTGGAATGCAGGGAGCGCGGACCGACTGCGGGGACCTTCTGTATCGTACTGATGGAAAGGTGCTCGGTCCTCATATCTAACATTCCGCATGTGCTGATGCCGGGAATGGTGACGTTTGTGGCTTGACGATCGCGGCCTTCCGCTTAGCGACCGTAGAGACCGAGACGAGCTTGGTCTTGCCAGAGTAGGAGGGGCAACCTCGATAACGGCCGACCTTCGCTTCTTTTCGCTGCCAGCCTTTCTTGACATGGGGATGCTGATAGTCGGGGTGCCGATTTTAGTATGGTCGCTTTCTGAAGGATCGAATTGTCCCGCCTCTAGGTCCTTTTCATCTTGATCGTAGATAGACGCTTGGTCACCATCATCACTACTGTAGACCGAGGAGTCGTCATCGTTGCCGTAGATGAGGGCCTCGCATGGTTTGCATACGCGAAGGGTCCCCGACTGGCCGAACATCTTGCCAGATACCAACGATGTACATTTCGCGTCAAAGATTTGCCCACATGTGCGGCAGTGGTGTTTCCGCCTGAAGGTCGAGAAGGCATCACCGCAATTGAAGCAGTCCTTTGCATTCTCGTCCCTCATCCAAAACTCTCGATCGAGTATCTTTCGCCGCATTTGCGAGAACGCGTTATTTGGTAGGTTGCTAGGAGATTTGACGGCACGCTGGATCTCCTCGATAGGTGCGACAGTGGAATTCCGTACAGTAGTCGCCGTAACAACGGAACTCAAGCCATCCGAGGATGACGCCCTTGAAGGATAGCCGGGTAAATGTGACGGGCCAACCTGTACCAAGGGGGGACGTTGTGGTGCGGGCGCGAGGACGGTCGTTTGTCCGTTGACGGTGAGACGTGGAGCCTCGGTCGACTCGGAGCCGTTGTCGGAGCGATCCCTTGCGCCCTTCAGCGAGGACGAAGCGGATTTGTATTGGTTGTCTGCTCGGGAATTGACCTTGGTAAGTGCATCGTTCGGAGAATCCAGTGAAAAGGCAAATTTGGCATTGTCATTCGCAAACCCACCGCCCTCGACTACGACCAAATCATCCTCTGTGGTGTCACTCTCCTGGCCCATCAAGTCTAAATCCCCCCTCTGCTGTCGAAAAGGCCCTTCCCGGCCCTGAGCGTATCGCATGATGTCTTTGCTGTTGGGCGCAGAAGCCAACCCAGTCGACGAGTTGCTCTTCGAAGGTTGCCCGGAAGCGGAGGTGCGATGGGCTGTTGAAGCGATGCTGACCGGGCTCTGAGCAAAGGCGTCGTCGTCTGTGGGGGCTTTCGCAGGATCGAGACTGGGCGCTATTGACGGTCTGGAGCGGGTCGTTGCGACGGAGGATTTGGAACCGCTCAGCGAAGGCTTTGTGGACATGGCAGAGCTTGAAACGGTCGAGTCTCGCGACGGCGGGGGAGGATGATCGGGGAAGCTTGCTACGAGAGGCGACTGCAACCTCGAGGATGGCACAGAAACCACAACGGGCGACGAGACGGCTGTGCCCGCCGAACTCTTGCTAGAGTTGCCCGTTTTCGAAGCTGCTTTATTCTTCGCTCCCCCGCCAGGGCCATCGTCAGAGGGCTCCACGCCAGCTTCTTTCACGCCTCCGACAGAGGCCTTTATTCGGCTGTATAGGCCGCTCAAGCCGCCTTGGACCAGCTCTATGCCCTTGGCTTCTCCAGCGGACGAAGAGGCAGGTGGGGCGGTTAAGTCGTCGAACGTGGTTAGAGCATCCGAGTGCGATGCCGTGGCATGCATCTGGTGGAGCGTCTCGTGCAGAGAGCCCCGCGAGTCTCTAGCCATGGCTGCTGCACTGGACGAACCGGGGCGGACGATGGTGGTAGGGCACGGCGAGCCGAGGAAAGGGATCGGAGCGGAGGCAGTGGCGGTCAGTGAGGAGCAGCATCAGGTTTGGTCTGCAATGTGGATCGAGTCCTGCTGCGTGTTATAGGTCATCGCAAGGCAGCCGTTCAGTGTTCGGCGGATGTACGCGGTGCAGAAGGTTTGTAGGTTCCGCTGGTTTCGAATGACGGATGGCGCTGGACTGCAGCGAATAAGCAGACGTCGGGGCCCGTGGCGAGGGCGCGTAAGGGCTAAGGCAGCAGGCGCGCAGGTTTTACCGTAGTAATCCCGCAGAAATACTAAATATTACTTAGTTACGTAATACTAAAAATTTTATACTATAACGTATTCTACTATTAAATATCTTATATAACGTACTTAATAAGTAAACGTCTTAGATAAATAAACGCTCTAAAAATACTAAGTATAAGAATTAATAAGTTTTTCTTAAATAACTAAGCGAAACCTTAATATTTTTCTATAAAAATTTAAATATATATAGAGCTATACTATATACACCTTCTATTAAATTTATACTATATATTTTCTATTATATAAGCTTAAGATAAGCCTTTTTCTAAAAGTAGCTATTCTTAGAGTTTAAACCTTATAAGTACTAGTAGACCTTTATAATAATCTATAAAACTTTAAAGATATATTATATACTATAGTATAAAGCCTTCTATAAAGTTTAGTAGTCTAGAAGTATATAGCTATAAAGATATTAAAGAAAGAATCTAAAAAGTATCTACTTTTAAATTTATTCTAGTAGCTTATCTTTTTCTAACTATAATTAAGGTTTACTATTATATATATACTTATATAGTTATATAGTAATAGTTTATTAAGTTTTATAGTCTAATATATTATATTTATATAGATATTTTATACTATAAGTTAATATACTTATAGTAGAACTTTTATCTTAAATAGTTATTATATTAACTATAAAGAAAGTATAACTTTATATATAGCTTTTATTATAGTAATAGAATAAGGTATAAAGATAATATAGTATATTTATTAGTAATATCTATCTATTTCTAGAAGAAATCTCTAGGCTTCTTATTAGAAACTCTTTAAGCTAATACCTCTAGTATTACTAAGCTAAACGCTACTAAACTTTATAGAAGACTTTATACTATAGTATATAGTATATTCTTTAAGTTTTATAAATTATTATAATGTACTTTATTATTAAACTCTCTATATTATCGAACTCTCTACAATTTCTTAGCAACAAAAATTAACGAAAATTAACTCGTTTTTCTTAAATAACTAAGCAAAACCTTAATACTTCTCTATAAAACTTTATAGATATATTATTTATAGTATATTACACCTTATATTAAAGTTATACTAAGATATATTATATAATTAAAAAGCTATACGTATTTAACTAACTTTTAAGAAAAATCTAGTTTACTTCTAGTTAGTACTATTATATCTCTATAATATTATAACTTTAGATAGATTAGATAATCTTTAAATAACTACGTAACTACTAGTTCTAATTAAGACTAGTAGTCTTAGCGCCTCTATCTTCTTAAAAGCGCGCTCTCTCTATACTTTCTTTTTCTCTATCTAATATTTTTAGTAATAGCTAATAATTAACTTAATTCTTAAGACTCTTAATAGCTTTCTTATAGTATACTAGACTACTATCTTATAGCTATAATAAGCTATTAGCTATAACTAGCTATAACTATATATAATAGTAACCTATATAATAGTAACTTATATAACTATACTAATTAAATACTACTTATTAAGCTAACTAGTAGATAACTCTAAATATAGTTTATAAGAACCTATATCTAAACTTTATAAAAGGCTTAGAGGCTATAAAGGCTACTCTTAAAGCTAATTGTAATTAATTCTAGTACTCTAGAATTTCTAGTAGTTTTCTCTACGTTAGCGTAATAACTAGCACGATTAGTAACCTATAGAATACGTAGACGTCTATCTAGACTCTAGGCGTAGCTTTATAAGAGGTTAATAACTTATAGAATCTAGATAATCTTAACTATATACTTCTAGAAAATTTACGTAAAGATATATACTTTTCTAAAGCTTTATCTCTCTATAAGATTACTATTAATAAGCGTATAATAACTATTTCTAATAATACTAAGAACGTATATAATAAGAATAAGCCTTCTATAGTAGATAGTAAGTTATAAGACTAGTAATAGAACTTTTACTATTAGTTTATTATTAATATAGCCTCTACTACTAAAAATATATACTTCTAACTCTTTTTTAATCTAGAGAATAATAATTAGCTCTATCTATACTTAGAGAAGTTAAAAACTAGTTAGTAGAAGCTATTAGTAGATATCTAATTTATTAAAGAATTTAAGAATATAGTTAATAAATTTAGTAATATATATAATAGTCTAGTTTAGAGATTTACCTTAGGTTACGTAATCTTATTACGTAATCTAGCCTAGCGTCTTAGCGCTTAGTATCTCTATATATAGCGCCTCTTAGAGCCTTTTCTCTACTTCTTACCTTTAGATAGCTAAATTTAACCTAACCTACTCTACTAGCACCTCTTATTCTTATAGCTTATAGAGACAGTACTACCTATAGCTAACTTATCTAGCTAGGTGTTTAGAGATGCTTATAGCAGTAGAGATTACAAACCTAGCCCTTATATTATCTAAAGGTTAATACCTCTTTAGCTAGAGACAGTAGCATAATATCTAGCTAAACTAAGTAGCCTTATTAAGAAGCGTTTACTAATAGCTAATACTAAGAATTAGAGCTATAAAAGCCTAGTTACTTACCTAGAGAATTATAGCTATAAGAGCTCTAATTACTTATCTCTTTAGTACTATATAAGACTACTAGTAGATCTAGTTAGTAGTAGAAAAATACTAGTACTAAGCTAAAGAGAGCTATTAAGAGCTCTATATATAGAAGAACTTCTATAGAACTTCTACGTATAAAAACTCTCTCTCTTTTATAAATTACGAAAAATTAATAATTCTCTACTTTGCTAGTAGAGCTAACTATCTCTCTACTCTACTAGTAGAACTAATAACCTACTACTCTACTAGTAGCTAAATACCTCTTCTCTTTACTTCTTTCTTAATTAAAAAGCTAAATAAATTTAAATACTATAAGAGAACTCTTATAAAGCTAATCTAGAGATAGAACCTTAGCCTTATAATACCTCTTTACTCTAATAGTTTTTAAATCTAGAGTAGTAAACCTACTAGTAGAATATACTAATTAATATTTCTATTATAAAAACTCTATTTAGTAATATAACGTAATAACTAATAAGAATTAAAATAATAACTTTAACTAGAAGCTTATAAAACTCTACTAGAGCTTAGTAATACTAGAGCTATTATTAGCCTTAGGTTTATATATACTCTCTACCTCTACTAAAGAGCTTTAAGAGCTCTTTCTAGAAACGCTAGCTAAAATTATTAATAAAATAGTTAGCTAATTATATATATAATAGGTATATAAATAATAAATCTATATATATTACTAGATTACTACTAACGCTCTTACTAAGAGAGATAATATATACGCGAGATATTAGATATAGGCTACTACCTTAGCTAAAAAAGACGCTAAAATCTAGTAACTATAAGCGTAATTAACTTACTCTAAAGACTAGATACTATCTACTATACTAGTTTAACGCGTAACGCGTTTCTCTATAACACTAATTATACGTAATTTAAGCGCGTTACTACTAGAGAATTTAATCTTAGGTTCTTATCTCTCTATATACTAGCTAGCTATACTTCTAGTATTATAAGCGTAGAAGAGCTAACTAATACGCTCTACTAAGTTTCTAGATTTACTCTTATTATTAGATAGTAAGAGTATTACCTTTAAGTAGTAGAGAGATAGCTTATATAATAAACTTTAAGTAAACTAGAATTAGTATACTAGAGATACGCTAGAGAATACTAAGAAAACTATTATTACCTATATCTATACGTAAACTAAAGAAGATGTATACTAGACTCTATTAGTAATACTA